TCGGGATGACTTCATTCAGAGGATCGTCAATTTTGACACCAATAGTCAAATGACGAAGCCCCTTCGCGAGCTGATGAAAAGGGACTTCTTGAGCCGACCTTCGTTCAACTTCGAAACAGTGCAGCGTGCAAGTAAAGCTTGCGGTCCCCTGGTGAAATGGGTTCTCGCACAAGTACGTTTCTCTGAGATTCTCGACAAGGTGGAACCTTTGCGCAATGAGGTCCAATCACTGGAGTCGCAGGCAGATATGACAAAGAAACAGGCCTCCCAGATCATCACTATTGTCGCCGAATTGGAGTCGAAAATCGCAACCTATAAAGAGGAGTATGCATTGCTGATCAGCGAGACTCAGGCTATTAAATCGGAGATGGAGCGTGTGCAAAGCAAAGTGGACAGGAGTATGAAACTTCTTGAAAGTTTGTCATCAGAGAAAGGCCGTTGGGAGTTGGGGAGTCGCACATTCGACGCGGAGATGAGCACCATCGTTGGTGATGTCCTGCTTTCAGCTGCCTTTTTAGCTTATGGCGGCTTCTTCGATCAACATTATCGCGAGGTCATGTGGCAAGAATGGTCGAGCCATCTTCACGAAGCAAACATCAAGTTCAAGCCAGAGCTTTCGCTCACAGAGTATCTATCGACTGCTGATGATCGCCTGAGCTGGCAATCGAAGTCACTCCCATCGGACAATCTGACCACGGAGAACGCAATCATGTTGAAACGATTCAACCGTTACCCTCTCATCATCGATCCCACAGGACAAGCCACTACATTCCTTCTCAACGAATACAAGGACCGCAAGATCACTGTCACCAGCTTCTTGGATGAGGCATTCCTCAAAGTCCTTGAGAGCGCTCTTCGTTTCGGCAACCCTTTACTTATTCAAGATGTCGAACATCTCGATCCTATTCTGAATGCTGTGCTGAACAGGGAAATACGGAGAACAGGTGGTCGTGTTCTCATCCGCCTCGGCAGCCAGGACATCGACTTTTCTCCTTCGTTTACCATGTTTTTGTCCACTCGCGACCCATCCGTCGAGTTCTCTCCAGATATTTGCAGCAGGGTAACGTTTGTCAACTTCACCATGACGAGGAGTAGTCTCCAGAGTCAGTCACTAGACCAAGTTCTCAAAGTCGAACGTCCGGACACTGAACGCAAGAGAACTGATCTGATGAAGGCTCAAGGAGAGTTTCGTCTTCGCCTTCGCACACTGGAAAAGTTACTGCTACAAGCTCTCAATGAATCAACGGGTAACATTCTTGACGATGACAAAGTCATCAGCACCTTAGAGACCCTCAAACGAGAGGCTGCGGACATTACTCACAAGGTTGAAGAAACGGATATCGTTATGAAGGAGGTTGAGCAAGTGACTGCGGAGTACCTGCCACTGGCACAGGCATGCAGTTCCGTCTTTTTCATTCTCGAGCAACTTAACCTGGTCAACCACTTCTATCAATTCTCGCTGCGGTTCTTCTTGGACATATTCGACTACGTTTTACATCACAATCCTAATCTCAAGAACGTATCCGACCATCATCGCCGGCGCGAGATCCTCCTCAATGACCTGTTCTTAATCGTCTACAAGCGGACTTCTAGAGCTCTTCTTCATCGTGATCATGTGATGCTTGCCGTTCTTCTGGCTCAAGTCAAGCTCCGCGGAATGGAAGAGATTAGCGATGGGCTAGAGTTCCTACTGGAGAGCGGGCAAGACGTTGCAGTTTCTACATCTCCCTCAACAGAGCATCCTACCCCTTCGATATTGACGCCAGATCAGATGATGCACTTGGAGAGCTATGCTAAACAGTCCCTATTCAAGCCAGTTCTCAACAACATATTAGAGCATCCAGATGATTGGATTCCTTTCCTGCAATCGAGTAGTCCTGAATCTATCGTTCCAACACCCTGGAAACCCGATACGCGTGAGTGACCACATACTTTCATTGTGGGCAACCACTGATCAGATTGCAGCTGCCGTCGAAGCACTACGTTCAATGCTGATTGTCAAGTGCCTTCGGCCCGACAGACTATTGCAGTCCACGGCCCTATTCGTTCGAAATGTGTTCCAGAGCGACCTCTCATCCGATTTAGACCTGGGCGTCATGGTCGCGAATGAAGTGCCGGCGGCGACTCCTTTGGCCCTTGTATCAGTTACGGGTTATGACGCCAGTTACCGTGTAGAGAACCTCATACAATCTACCGGTGCACGATCCTCCTCAGTAGCTATGGGCTCTCAAGAAGGTTTCACGTTGGCAGACCAAGCAATCGCAGCAGCATCCCGTCAAGGGACATGGGTGCTGTTGAAGAACGTGCATCTCGCTCCTACGTGGCTAGGACAGTTGGAGAAGAAGCTCCAGACGTTGAATCCTCACCGAAACTTCCGCCTTTTCCTGACCTTAGAAGCGAATCCTTCCATTCCTGTAAACATCTTACGTCAGTCACGCATCATCATGAATGAGCCTCTGCCGGGAATCAAAGCGAACCTCTTGGACTCACTTGGATCCATAACGCCACAGCGACTGGCGCAAGGTCCATCAGAGAAGATACGTTTGTACTTCCTATTAGCATGGTTCCATGCTGTTGTCCAAGAGCGTCTCCGCTATGTCCCATTAGGCTGGAGCAAGGCTTATGACTTTAACGACTCTGATATGGCCTCAGCTTTTGGAACTATTGACACCTGGCTCAATGCAGTTGCTAAAGGACGTGCAAACGTGGACCCAGCGAACATTCCTTGGGATGCTCTTAGAACGCTGATCAAGCAATCCGTCTATGGCGGAAGAGTTGACAGTGATTTTGATCAGCGCATTTTGGACGCCTTTGTCGACAAGCTCTTTACGCCTGCTGCATACAACGTCGACTTCGACCTCGTTCCAACCATCGGTGGAAACCATGCGCTTGAAGCTCCTGATGGTACCAAACTAGAGCATTTCCTGTCCTGGGTTCAACGCTTACCTGATCGCGAACCACCTGCATGGCTAAGCCTTCCTCCAACCGCAGAGCGTGTTATTGCTGTAGCGCAAGGTATACAATATATACCTACACCACTACCTCTCTGATTGCTTCGTTCTGAAGGTAATGAGCTGCTTAGTAAATTGCGCAAGATGCGGACTCTAGCAGATGATGACGAGCTCGGGAGTGCCGCTAGTCCCTCGAAAAGCCAGACCTCGCAGCAACCTGTATGGATGCGCAACCTTCACGAGCGATGCCGTGAGTGGCTTACGCAACTGCCTTCGGTGAGTCTCTTGATGGATTTATTGTCCGCATGTTGCTCACCGTTCTATTTCAGACACTAAATACTCTGCCAAAGCAATCCAATGACAATCCTGATCCTCTTTATCGTTTGTTCTTCCGGGAAGCCTTGATCGGACGCAAACTTCTCGATCAGGTTTGCAAGGACCTAGCGGATGTGGTGAAGGTGTGCGATGGGGAACTGAAGCAGACAAATCACCTGCGAACTTTGATGAGCTCCCTGACAAAAGGTTCTTTGTCGCTGCCCTTCTCTTCCGCATCGAATACTAATGTATCTTAGGGACTATTCCTTCCCACTGGAGGAGATACAAGGTGCCAAAGGCCATGTCTGTGTCAGAGTGGATTCCAGATCTAGCTCGTCGATTATCTCAGCTCGATGGCATAACGAGTGTGCAACAAAATCTTTCCAACGTGGAGGTGTGGCTTGGTGGACTGTTCTTCCCCGAAGCATATATCACAGCGACTCGTCAAGCTGTGGCGCATCGCAAACGATGGAGTCTTGAGACGCTTCACCTGCGCCTCGACATCGATCAGATGAACGATCCTGGTGCATTCATTGTTGATGGTACGTTGTTTCTTTCCCTTCCCTTTTCGCCAAATTCAAACAACGTCTGTAGGTCTTATTCTGGAGGGCGCTGCTTGGGACGCCGAGAATGAAAAGTTGGTCCTCAATGACGGGCAGGCTGTCCGACTCAATGCTTCTCAAATTCGCTGGGTCCAAGACGACTCCAGCGAGGAACAGCCTGCCGATCTAGTCACGCTGCCAGTTTACCTCAACAACGACCGCAGTGATGTGATGTTTACGGTGGATCTGCCATTCGATAAACATTCAGCGTCGCTAGTAGCAATGAGAGCTGTTTGTCTCACCGCAAGGGGCTGAGCGTTTGAGCAGTGACCTAGATCTCTAACTATTGACATACTATACCTATATCGCGATACCACTTCCTTCGTTTGCATTTCTGTATTTTATAACAATCATGGACTAACATATGATGATCTCTTGCGATGTATGCTGCGTCTTCACCGCATGCTCCCCTATAAACTGAATAAAGATTTGGAATATCTTGGGATTTGTATGAGCAGGGCTTTTACAATAAAAGGCTTCTATTGATCTGCCTTGCTCAGCACGGGCCCAGTGAAACTTTGATGGAAACATTCATGACTCGGAGTCAGCGTTGAACTTGACAGCACGAGCTGTCAAGTTCAACGGCGACATATATCCGAGAGCTGTAGTAGACCTGGTTAGACTCGTGACCAGTCTGAGTAGAATCAGCTATCTGGGTATCAAGGGCTGGTTCGTTGCTAGATACGCCGGATAGTAATTTCAGCTTGTCACTCGGTACGAGTGTGGGCGGGCGGATCACCAACTTCCAGTACTATCCCTCCCGGCTGAGTCGTCACCCCCACAAGTCGTCTTAAGTTAGAGCGAAAAATTATGTGAGGGTGAAATAAAATACTAGCTTAAGCATTGTGAGCCAACGCAGCTTCTTCAATGATCTTGCAGATCTTGTTTGTGACACCCTGCAAAGCTGCCTGGAATCACTGCTCATATGCAGATAATCATGCTCGTGATTTACCTTTCGAGCGGCTATCTCTGAGTCTGACAAGTCGTCACAGCCAGTCGTAGTATCCGCCACGGCAACATTCGGCTGGCTGTCACCAGCGTCAGTCTTGCGTGACTTGGGCTGCTTTCGAAGAACTTCACCATTTTTCCTCGTAAAAATCAAAAATCAGTCGTTCAACCTCGCAATAAATAGTACATGTTAGAGATACTGATTGAAGTTGTAAATTATGTGTGTAAGTAAGAATTGAGTGAGATATTTAGGTCGTGACGATTTGTGGGGGTGACGACTCAGCCAGGAGGGATAGTAGTGATACAACAACAAATGTCTGCATAAACTCCGTCTTAAACATACTATAACCAAAATAAATACTACGACGGATCCTCAACCAAACATCTCCTCCATGCGGAACCCTCGACAACCATTTCCTACACAGTACTGCTAGTCGGTACATGCACACGCTCCTGGAAGACGATCGAATTCATGCTAGTTTCTGCGTCGGATTCGGCCACGAGTTTAGCGTGATATTGTCGAACGCTAAGAATGAGGCGTGGTCCCAGCACAAACATCTGCACGGACAATAAAATTTCCATAGCACCACTGAGTATCACAACTGCTACAGAATTCGAATTCTACAGAAATGATGAGCAGTGGGGTTACATGTAGATGTCAGTGACATATTGGCGCACCTTGACTTCTGGAGAGAGATTAACAAGCTGGAGGCAAGAGACACCGGCAAAGCTAGCACATGCGGAACTTGAGCAGAAAACAATCAGCACATTCGCATTACAAGCTCACCTTGCAAAATAAAGCACGTGAGATTCCATGAGCACTCTGAAACAGTCCCCGATGGTCGACCCCGTCCATGGGCCGAGTCGTCGCAGGTCACGGAAGTGCTTCGCAGCAATCCAGACTGAAAGACACAGTGCGAGGACCTCCCAAACAGTGTTGAGCATCCAGACCATTGAGAACAGAAGCTGGGTATCCCCCTCGAATTCCTCACTGCATATATGAATACCAGAGAGTATCAGCTCCTCTGGTGTTTGTACAATGAGCTGTGTTATTCGATTCAACAAGTAAAGCTTACCCGATACGAAATAATACTTGAGTACTATTATCGTGATTACTCCGCAGGCGATGTTTACGGCCAGGCAGATGATAACAAGGAAGATAAGCATCCTCCTAGATCTCTGGTACATGGCATGCAACCGGGCAATCATGATGACTTGGATCACGTGTCAATATCACTGAGGTATCGCAGTCGAATAACTCACCGCCCAACATGGCAGTTACGACCACATTTGTCCCATTTACTCCATAGTTTGCGATATTGCCTGAAACACCCGATTAGTGGTTACCCTCGTACCAGGATCAAACACTCCGACTCACACCTATTGAGTCATTATGTCGAGCCAAGTCCAATGGTCAAATCGCACTCACCCCTACAAATGAATGTATTCATTGGATAGGAATGAAATGATTGCGGAATACTCACTGCATCTGTCAACGAGACAAACGTAATGATTCCTGTGTGCCACCGGTCAGAAGAATCGAACACGGTGCATATGAGACATACCCAGAATGCTAGCACTGATGATGAGAGATGGGCTATCAGTACAGCAACTACATTTTGGCCTCGATTAACATACACAGAATATGGTATTCCAACGTAGCGTATCTAGAACATTTTGGAGTCAACACAACCACCAACCTGGTATAACATGAGGTACGAACGACTAGGTACAGTACGGTCATGAGAGACCAGCGTTGGGTCTGTCACAAATTCATTGTTTTTGTCCTGATATGGGACTCTGTGACTCACCCAAATCAGATCAATCTATGATACCATTGTTAGCAAGTTGGGTGCTCCTGCGGCAATAGCATCAACCTACCTCTTGTATGAGTGTTAATACTAGAAATATGATGAGAATATCAGCAACTTCAGAATACTGTGCTGCTCACCCCAATCGTATACCACCACGAGGCCTGCGGCAACTGCGAAGCAACAAGTCAATATCAAATCAAGACATGACTAACTGATATGGCGAACCCGTCCAATAACTGTAAAAAATACTCAAATTGATTGAAGGCCACCAACTGGGATCATTTGAGATTACGGTCATATTCGAGGATGGGAGATGTTAGGAGTGTATGATGGTCTAGCGTTCATGCTATATATACCAGCATTCAGCGCTCAGCGCTTGTATCGCCAAAATCGACATGATGGTTTCGTCTATGGGAGGCCCTTGGCCATGGACGTAGAATTTGATTTGCACTACCCGAATTGGAAATCGGCTTCTCACGCGACTAAGCATGTGCACTCTTCCTCCGATTACTCTTATGGAACAAGGCCATTCGAACTGCGGCGACAAGTTCATTAATTGACCTCCTCCATGCGGGTGCATGTCAACGTTCACATCTTCCAATATCCAGAACGTTCTCTAACCGGTACCCGGTCTTAATGTCAAGAAATTAATCTTCCTTCGCAAGTTTGCACCGACCCGGCCTTATCTACATGTAAGTATCATATGTTCTAAACGTCAGCTGACATAGCTCCAACTCAATTTCCGATCTGATAGTTCATCACAAGAGTCAAGACCTGATTCAGAGCCTTTTAGAGCGAACATCGATAGCAACGCCTCCCGCGCCTTCATTTTCATCTCCTTGCCATGCGCATTTCTTCTTGACAGAGGCATATACTCACCTCGTAAGTCTGTTCTAAATTGTCACGCTCGATATCGTCGAATCATGCTTGAATAGACGTCGATCAGCGATATTGTGCCAGTAGCACCCAAAACGGAATGGACCTGGATATCCGATGATCTGGTGTGACGCCCAATCACACGAGCCACCAACTGTTGTCCCGCTGCCTGCTCGACCACCTACCACAACCGCAGACCTTATTTCGAGCTCGAATGATGAATGTCAAGGTATATGTCCAGACTCGGATGATGAAGATGCGATTTGGCTTGATGATGGTAATATCACGGACCATGTGGATCTAGTTGGCGCAAAAAGAAATGAGTTTGATGCGGGTAAACATATTGTCATATCATCCACGTACCTCCTCGATATCCTGTCAGACCACCCCATACAACCCATGGCTACTCGCGGAGGTGACAGGTCCGTCGACAGCAAAGGTGGCGGCTGAACAAGGTACAACTTCATCCTCAACGAGGAATGGACATAGGTGGCGTAAATTAGCGCAAATCAGTGTCAAAAAGCCATGGGTCAATTAGGTGTAATTTACACCTGGCCTTCGTAGAGGGTCATGCTAATTTGCTGGTCAATTAGAGCGGGAACCCTGATTCCCCGAACCCTAGACTCGGGAACTTGACAGCTCGTGCTCTCAAGTTCAACAGCGACATCGGAGAGCTATAGTAGACCTGGTACGGACACGGCTTACCCCAATGGGCTTGGCATGGACGTTAGATGAAAGGAACCTTGTCACGGTCTCCGCCATTCCTCGATAGCCTAATGGCAAACTGCCACCATTTGGAAGCCTCAGGCTGTCGCTGCTATGGCATTCTCCCGGGTCACTTGAGAAATGTCTACTGCAGGCCATATCTTGTTGAACCAGTTCTTCGTTTTATTCTACAACTTGAGCCCCGGTCAATTACCGGTCATGACAGTATTTAGAGCAGCAAAACATATTCATCCTCTAATGACTAACAACCACCCAGTCCTACTGTGGGCTCGACTCTCTCCCTACGGAAATCCGACTCCCCTGAAAATCCTGAGCGGACGCAATCATATGCAGAGTCGCGCCTTGGTCGAGGATGCAGGCGGTGAATTGGTATGGCCCGGACTGACAACACGTTGAGACACAAATCGATTGTAACTCAAGAGATACCGCTCGTCACGATGGGCTTATGTGTGCCAACATGTAAGATGGGGTATAGTCCGACGCAAACATAAATTTGGATTTCTTTTGTTGTTGACTGGACATTTCGTGCACACAACTTGAGCGCGTGTAAGATATGTTTGCTGTCATTATATTGCAACTCTACATAATATTTTTACTTTTACTCGTCAACAAGATCCTCCTCGTCGTGTATACGTACGCTAACTAAGAATTGACACGTCCACCATCCGAAGATGTTCCGTCGGAATGAATTTTGGACAAATCATACAACGGCGGAAGGTTCTTCAAGTTCTGAGTGCGTTGTTGTTGAAAATCCTGGTAAACCTGATCCTTGTTTGACCTCGAAAGGAATTGAATCGAGGCACCCTTGTCGTCGTCGTTATTAGATGTGGAATTACCAAAGTTGAAGCTAAATTCGTCGTCAGTGCCAGGGTGGATATATGCCAAAAGAAAAAAACTTACACAGAGTAGACGTTGCGCATGAATATATCGCCAAGCAAAAAATCCATATCCGAGCCTGTACTCGACAGTTGCGGACGGAATGCGGAAGTGCAAACAGTGTATTGAGTGTTGCCGTCAGTAAAAGTTGCCAGCCTCGTCAATTCGAGAGGGTTAATGGGCAAATAATCGTGGCTGAAAGTTTGGTCAGTAGATATTCAAGATTAGAAGCACTGGAATCACGAACCCGAATGAGAAAGACAAATTTGCCTGGCTTAAACACGGCACAATCCAGAAATTTTGCCCATTGGTTTGTATATGAATCGATCCGCTGATAGCACCATATATCGCATCCACAGCGTTGGAGGGAATGTACGCCAAACTGGTTCCGCTGTCGATGAGAGAAATAGCAGTCCCTTTATTTGCTCCCTTGACTACCGACTTGAGTGTCACGTCGTGGCCATTGACCTGCATGCCCGATAGCGCAATAGTCCAGCGCGACGACGTCGAAGGCGCAAGGGGGTATTTAGGTGTCCCGGAGACATCCTTGAATTGTGGGTCGTATTCTCCAATCGTGATAGCGCCTCCAGACGTATTTTCATTATCAGTCGTGCGCTCGAGCGCTAAAGCCATAAAATTCGGTGTTGTCGGATTTTGTTCAAAAAGGTTTGCCATTATAGGGCGGGCGGCTTTTTTCTTGATTTTTTTCTCGATCATGGATAGTGATATAAAGCCAAGACCGAGAATTCCATCGGCCCCTTGCTGGTACGTTTTGTCAACATTTAAAAACGCTGAAAATCATAAGGAAAGGTCGGAAGAAGCTTTGATAAGGGTCACCTTGATTTTGCACTTGATAAGTCCCAAGTTGAACAGTGGTGTAAGCGATGTTTCCCGAGGCGGAACCAATTCCATATGTGAGGTTGAGATTGTCGGATGTCTCGCTGTTGATCTTGATTTGTTGACCAGTGACCCACTTGCGTCGATACAATTAGTTTCTAACATGAACTGCAAACAGACCACTGCTCACCAAATCGCTGGACCCGGTATCGAGCACTAGGTTAAAATCTGGGTCGGAAAGGTCAGTGGATGTAGCCCCTAATAAGATGCACTACTTACCATGTCCTCCTACGTTGACCTGCCCGAGGTACTAGACGAAGATTAAACACACGTTTGCGACCGAGTTCGCAATGCGTATACTCACCTCCAAGTCTGATTCACTAGTGACTGAAACGAGTGACCCAAAAGTTGTGTTCGTAGCGTCGTTTGTCGGTTTATAATGAGCATTAAAATAAAACCCAATCGAATGGTCGTCCCTGATGATGGCGAGGGCATTGCTTTCCAGAAGCTTGCCGCAGACGACGAGAGCGAAGGCGAAAGTGGCGAATGGCGTTGAGGACATAGTTGGCTGTGTTGAAAGAATTAATGTTGAAAAGTGGATGAATGACAGATATTTATTTATCGGATTATAAACATTCCACTAAATTGATTTCAGTTCAGATGAACTAACCTTCAATGACGGCGCATGACGTCGTGATATTTGAGAACTTCTGAGACATTGAGAGTGTAGCCGCGGAATCATCAAAAATGAGCGAGATAGTGGCACTTTGAGAGTTTTCTTTCTTGGCGATCGCAAGAAGCATTGAACTATTCAATCCACGACAGCCTGAGGAATATGGCACGCCCAAAAAGTCGATACAAGTGGTAGAGAAGGTGTTTAGCGAGAATTACAATTCGGACTGGAGCATCACAGGTGACAGAAAAGGCGAGACCAAAAGTCCTGATAGTTTGTGCAACATTCTATACAATCAAAATATGAGTCTACGGAATAATATTAAGGAGCAAGCATTGGACAATTCACGCATAATCCGCCCTGCAGACTGATGCCATCTGCCCTTTATATCCACGCCGACGAAAGCGAACGAAGGAGTTTGAATATTCCACTTCATCGATTAAATCCCCTGTGATGAAAGCAAGCGCCTTCACAGCAAGACCATTCACACATACAAGATTATTTTTTCCTAAGGGTCTTATCAGCAATCCTCTACGTCTATTCGATATCGCCAAAAATCATTGGAAGAAACAACATTCTTTGCGTCGCAGTGAGAACTGGTGTGCAATCGGTAGAAGGGCAGATGACATACCATTGAGGCTGAGCCGAGACACAGCTTAAGAGTCAACAGTACTCCCTCCCGCCACTTCCAGTATCTTCCAATCTACTTCGATCTGCTCCTGCTGAAATATTTCCTGTATTTTCCCAGCGATGCTATCAAAATTATGAGTTGCAAGCGCAAGGATGGTCGGCCCTGCACCAGAGAGGCAGATGCCAAGCAGGCCAGGATGTGAAGCAGGGGTGATCAAGGAAGTGACCGCTGGCAGGCCAGGTATCTGAAATGGTGGTCAAGAAGTGCGATCTACACAGAATGAAAACTACTTACAAGAGTTTTTCGATACGGCTGATGCACACGATCTTTCATAGCCTCGAAAATTAATTCTGGGTCTGGTGGTGTCTGACCGAGAGCTGTGGTGAGGACGGCTAATCGTTGCATATTAAAAACCTGTGAGGGTTTTATTCAAGACATTATACTTATATGTATACGAGAGCACATACCAGATCCTTCCTTGAGTAACTCTCTGGCAGAACAGCTCGTGCTTTTGCAGTACTGAGTTCAAATCGGGGTATGATGGCAACAGCTTTGATGCTACTGTTCCATTTGAATCGGACGTAGTGACCGATACCCAATGGCGGAACAGGTGGGGAAAGACCCCAATTTTCTCCAGCATCAGGGGGGTATTCTGGGAGGACTTCTGAGAGGGGTACTTGTGCTGCCTCAGTAGCTTGTGGGTCTAGCTCTCTAAGGTATGATCCAACAAATCCTCCAACAAGCGCGGCTGTCACGTTGTCGGGGTGGCGCTCGACCATGAGCGCGTAGTCTAACATTCGCTCTCGGGAGAGGTTGAGTTTCCCGAGACTGTCTCCGAGAAGAACGCCTGCAATGACCGCTGCGCCGGACGAGCCGAGTCCGCGTCCAAAAGGTATTTGGTTGTGGCAGTGAATACTAAGGGCGGGAGGGAATGTCCTATGGCCATTGCAACGTAGCACGTAGAGTGCTACGCGAGTCATGAGGTTGCGGTACGGGTCCAGCGGGACTTCATCAGCTCCTTCACCCGAATATGTGATCACTGGTAAGGTAGAGGTCTCTCCGGTGGTGACAGTGAGAGTAAGATAGAGTGAAAGTGACAAGCCAACGACATCGAAGCCAGGACCAATATTGGCCGAGGTTGCTGGAACTCGTATTGTAAACGAGTTGGTCATGTCCAACAATCAGATTGACCAGTCTGTCCGATATGAGGCGAGACGGCCTGGTAAATTTGGATAATGCGCGCTTTGGAGCAATGACGCGATCTTTAGCCAATGAGAAAACTAACAATTTTAACGCGAATACTAAAATTATTGTTTGATGACGCGACGCGTCGCGTCAAATGTATATAAGATCTGCACTACGACTTCTCAGTCCTTCGCTCGCTCACTGATAGGAGAACCAACATCAGAGGATCACCCTGTTCGGACCTCTTAAAGCTTAAAGGCTTTTGCCAAATAAGCGCCTACTTTAGCCTTTACGGAAAATCCAATATCCAAAGTACAAATGTAGGGACAGCAAAATCTTTATTGAATCCCACACGACTCTGGATGAGAGGCTGTCCCAACCAGCCAAAAGTACCGTCTCATGATGCATTATAGCATAATTTCTCAGTGGGGACATCCTGAAGGTTGTGTATTACGAGATTTGCGCATTATGAGATAGTTTACTGTATGCGCCATCACAACACGGGAATTGTTAATAATGTGCAGTCTGTGGTGGCTGTAGCGCTCATGGTTGCGAGCGCACTTGTGAGGGTCGAGTGCCAGAATCCGTAGGTACGGAAGAGAAACTCGAGGTAGTCGAGGGAAGCGGCGAGTCACCAATGGAGGTGGTTGTCGTGGTTGTGCCGTTCTGGCCAGGGGCAACGACAGTGAACTGATAGAGTTGTCAGCGACAAGATAAATATTGCTGCAACTTGCAACTCACGTAGATTTGATCATCTAATGATCCGTGCTGCGCCACAGCGACAAGAACTGGTTGGTGGTTCATTGCGGTGACAATGGTAGACATCTTGTACGTCCCCTCAGGCAAACCATTAGTGATGCTGGCATGAAGTTGACCACTCGCATCTGCCTTGCTGTTCAAACCAACGAAGAATGCGAACTTGCTGGGGTCGGTTGGGGTAGTCTGCGTAAGGGACTGAAGCGCCTCGATAACGATGTGGGCGTGACCCTGGATTTGCCCAGATGCAGGATCAATTTGCTGGGGAGCAGAAAAGTAGTTGGTATCTGGATTAACAAAGAACCCAGTCTCGATTCCTCTAATCGCCAGCGTCACCTGGAAAGTGGTTTTCGCTGGAAGAACAGCCAAGTTGTTAGGACTGACGAACTTAGCACTGGGCATGTTCGAGGTGGAAGGGATGGCACCCATGGGAGCGGGGTTGCAGGAACCACCTTGAATCTGTTGGCCGTTCGTTATAGGGAGATTGGACAACGTGGCACAGTAGTTGATAAAGTTGTTGGTGGATGTTAAAGAAGGAACTTGGCCAGCCTCGGAGGTGTTTGTGTTCTGACCGTTCTGAGCAAAATTAGGAGCGACAAGGCTTGACAGTAGAGTTAGGGAGGTCTGGGCATTCGAGTTGGAATTTGACCCAGAGCCTGTCGCGGAAGTGGCTGCAAGAGCTGAGCTGGATGTAGTAGTCGCATTGGAGGGGCTGCCTGTCGTACTTGTTCCGTTGGCAGTGGCACCGGTGGCAGCAATACGAGAGTTCAGGTCTGCCTGAGTGGTGCAAGTGATGCTAGTTCCAGCAGAGTTGACAAGAGGAAGTGCAGCACATCTAATTTGAAGGTCGACTAAGTACTGACATTGGAACATAGTCAGACAAAACAAACTTACGTTAAACCTGATCCACATGAAGTGAGGACGTATTGCCCGTTGACGCACTGAGCAAACTCCCCATTGACACAAGCATTGCCAGATGTACAAGGTGAGGATGCAGTCAGTGACTGGAATTGGTTGCTGAAAGCAAGAGTTAGATTGTTAAAGGACTGCATGGAGCCGACGCGACGTACTTCAAATTGATCGCGTCGATACCATTCTGCAGCACAAAGCTTCCCCCACGACGCTTGAGGCTCGGAAGAGCAGTGGCGAAGGAAGAGAGCACGAGAGTTACAAAAACGGAAAGCTTCATGGCGTATATACAATGGTATGTTGTCGACTTCAGCGGCGAAGAAGTGTTTCAAAGGTTTGTTTAAGACCAGCTTGTGGAAGATGGCAGTCAATGCCGGGTCGTAAGTTAGAAGCAAAGAAGGTGAAGCAAAAGAAGGTAGCAGACACAGTCTACTTCGTCACTGACGAGGGTATGATGAACAGGGCGAGTACGAAATGCATGCCGTGGCATGGTCTTTATACTTGACGCAAAGTATTAGTATCAGGAACAATGGAACAAGATATAATGGGATCATGCCTCTCCTGCACAATAAAGAAGCACCTCGGTCATTGCCAACGCGAGCATGTGTTGTGTTTTGCTGGGACACTCGTTGTTATTCGACGGTACTTGGTTGTTGTCCACAAGAAGAGTTCTTATTGTTCATCACTAATGACTACCAAACTTGGACTTCTGTAACATCTTATCAACCAGCTGGCCACACGTCACGCGAGGCATTTTGATCGGTTTTGCAAACTCCCGGCTGGTTGATCTTCCCAAGTATCGCCAGCCAGCGCAGAGGATGATCAAAGCTAATAGAGATCGCGAAACAAGATGTACTATGATTCTGTTCGTAATATCTGAATCAGCTCTGAGAATGACCCTCATTTGGCAGAACAAGGATATCAATTACTCCTCAAGGAAGAAGTAGTTACCCGCGACTGCCAAAACAATATTAAAGACTTTGAATGACTCAAAAGACCAAATACATACCCTTCTGCTCTTTGTCCTTTACACTGTTAAGCTTGTTAACTCTTGGCCTGAAGTTCGTGGGATCACGTCTGAATGTAACCTCAAGCGATGCCAAGAAGTGGTTCATTCCAGTGAGGAGGGACTGTGGTCTGCAAAGCGAATTAATTAATGTGTGTGAGCATAGTGTAACCCAAATTTCTTACGGCGTAGAAGTTGCTCGAAGGGAAGGCTCCCCCTCAAAGACGACGACGCGGTCAGCCAGATAGGTTGCCATGATGAAGTCGTGTTCGATGACAAAAGCGGTCTTCTTGGCATGAAGGATAAAGCTGATGAAAGTATCGATCAAATCGAAATGTAGACGACTAGATCGGTTGCTTACCGCTTGATGACCTTGCTTGCGATAATACGTTGCTCGGAGTCGAGGAAACTTTAATTCTGTATTAGCATATTCATATAGGGAGAACAATATTGGCGCACCTGCTTGGTTCGTCAAGCAAATACACGGAGACATTGGGTTTGCCTTCAGTCAGATGTCAGCCAATACGAAACGAAATCAAAGAAAGTACTCACCGAGTGCAAGGACAATAGCCACACGTTGCAGCTCACCTCCAGAGAGCGTCTTCACATCCTGATCCATAATATTATCCAACGTCATTGGTTTGACCACGTCCGTTTGGAATTGTGGGTGCATGAAGGCTGCTTTAATTTGCTTCAGCAGAAGCATGCGGACAGTTCCTGGGAACTTTGGTGATATCGTCTGCGGCTTCAAGGACACCGCTAACTCCATTTTGTCTGCCTCGTCGTCCGGCGTCGTCACGCCAGCAAGCAGACGGACAAAGGTTGTCTTGCCTGTCCCGTTTTCGCCAAGCATGACAATAATTTCCGAATCAGTGAAACTACCGGACTCAACAGTGAGCTTGAAGTTGCCCATCGTCTTCGTCATAGAGGGATAAGAGTAATGACGGGTCTTGTCAATGATGAGCTCCTCAGCAGTCTCCATCATCTTGAAGCTCAGAGACTCCTCGCGGAAACGCAAATTCTCGGTGGGAATAAAACCATCCAGGAAGATGTTGATACCTTGTGAAAGAGTGAGCCATTTCACAGCGAGTTATTGGGTAAGCTTTCACCTTCACGGACAGAATAAGGCATAGTTACAACACCATACATCGATGGCTTTCCGTAAAGACAACAGATAAAATCTGAAAGATAATCCAGTACTGACAGATCGTGCTCGACAGCGATGACATAGCAGTCTGGGGTGAGTAGGGACCGGATGACCTCAGCAGCCTTCAACCGTTGTTTTATATCGAGATAACTCGAAGGCTCGTCGAACATATATCTACACAAGACCGAGTTTAAAGCGTGGTTTATAACTGAATTGGAACATACGCACACATCGGCCTTCTGGATACATGACATGGCGATCGCGAATCTCTGCAGTTCTCCACCAGAGAGTGCCGAAACTTCACGATCAAGAACGTTGTTCAGCTCTAGCTCATCGCACATTGTTTGCTTGTTGTCAAGCTCGAGTTTCGAGTCCAACATTTGTGAGACGGTCAGGTTGCCTTTAATCGCCCGAGGAATGTGGTCAACATATTGTGGCTTGATAAGTGCTTTCAAATTGTCCTCGAGGACCTTGGTGAAATAGTTTTGCAGCTCGGATCCACGGAAGTAACGCAATATTTCTTGCCAGTCGGGAGGATCCTACCAGGTAAAAATCAATGCTGTCCTTGAACAGTCCCACTGGCATACCACTCACATCATAGCGGCCAAGATTCGGCTTCTGTTTTCCAGCAAGAATCTTTAGTGCTGTGCTTTTACCAATTCCATTGGTTCCAACGAGTCCGAGAACCTGGCCAGGTCTTGGGGTGGGTAGTCGATGGAGCTTGAAGGCGTTGGCGGTATAACGATGCGTCACTTGAGATTCCAAGTTAGTAGGTAAGTTAATGATGGCGATAGCTTCAAATGGGCATCTAAGAATTTGCTCAATCATTTAGTCGACCTTCGCAAAATGATCCACTCACTTCTTTACGCAGATACCACAACCGATGCATAAAAACTCTGAGATGAACGCTATCTTATCGGTCGATTTTACTTCTATGCAAAGTTTGCCTGGAAGGTCAATTAGCATGAGCACTCCGCCAGTGCTTCGGGTGGAGGCGCACCCATTTTGACCACAGGACATGACTGCTCGCAAACTGATGAGTGACTGATCTGACGCAGTGACTGCTCGAGAGGGAGTGGTGCATCACCTTCTTGCATTCCTGGGCACATCGCTTTGGCTTGCAGCGATTTGCGTCCACGATGGCGATACGGGTGATTTTATCAGCCATCGTTGCAGGCTAGAGACGGCGGTTGGCTCTTGGATCTGATTCTTTGCTTGCAGTGATGACGGATCGGCAGTAGTATGTAGGTGATACAACGAAGTTGATTGGCTACGATGAGCATGTTTATTTACATAAATGATTTATAAAAACTTTTTGCTGGTTATCTAATTATCTTATCTTCGTGTCTAGTATCTACCATACTCGTCCCAGCTGTCGACTCAGACTACCATGGCGTTGCCTGAGCAGATCGTTACTGTCGATGCTGTACGTGTCTATTTCGTCAACGGAAAAGTTGGGCAATGACAATGACTACTGCGGATTTAAAACCCTCGTACTTAGATCCTTTTCGATCTGGATGGGTAGTTGTCACTATTAGTCTTCTTAATCTGCCATGTCTGATCGCTGTACGCCAGGACCCTCATAGATTCCACTCCTGGCGTCATTTCAGCCTGGAAAACATTCGCGGATGAATACAAACTTGGATCGCATCTTCCTATCGTACAGAAAACTCATGGACGGAGACTTGCTGATACCCTGAGGGACGAGACTATATGCAATATCCAGGACACAAAACTTTTGGATGTGGGCGCGACCTCGTTCGATGCTTGTAGTGACCCCGCTAATTCTGCAGAGCGAAATTGTGCGCTTCGAGGACTTGGTGATCCAGGGTAGCCCAGTGGCTCTTGAAGGAGCTATCGAGTTCTTGGCTCAGGTAAAACTTTCGAAGTCACATACATATTGCACAATAGGCTGACTATTACATCGCTCGAAGCTGGACTCACACCATGACATGCGCACTAGGTGGACAATTGTCACATCAGGTAGCGTGGCAATCTTGTCTTGTTAATGGTGCACCGGAGCTCCCTGAACCATAGCTTCGAGGTACTATGCAACTCAGTGCATACCGAAGTGCGAAATTCCGGTGCCTGCGTCAGGGTTTGTGACGGCAGATGATGTTAGCGAAGGAAAGCCAAAGCCCGCACCGTATCTTGAAGGAGCAAAGAAACTTGGGATTGATGTGACTAAGTGTGAGTCAGACGATACCTGTTTCTTTGTAGCGCCTTATTTGCCCAGGTCTTGTTATTGAGGATGCACCGTCCGGGGTGCAAGCAGGAAATAGTGCCGGTGCAAAGACGCTCGCAGTTTGTACCTCCCACAAACGTGAAGACTTTGAGAACTGTTCGGAGGAAATCAAGCGCCCCACGTATATCATTGATGATCTGACTAGGTGAGTCGCGATGCACTCAGAAGCATTCACCACACTCAAAAGAAACTATTCGTAGAGTACGCGTGAATTGGGAGAACAGCAAGATTCGGCTTACGATCGATACCCGTAGAGGACCTGATTCGGATTAACAATTTTATAGTCAGAAATCCACAACTCCCACGCAGTGGTGGTTTCAGGATTCCTTAGGCTCTGAGGCATGATAAAATTCAAAACAGGAGGGTACTCACCAATGTCAAAAGCTGCCTCATCGTAACGAACAAGCGGTTGGCTTTCACAGAGTTGACTCTGGTAAAAGAAATACCCGGTATATTTAAGCTGCCACCGCTTCAAGCTGCAATGGCACTTACAGCTTACAGGCTCTTCTTCTGCTGATGCTTCATAATTAATCCAGGTACTCACTAGCCTATGACGATATCGGGTGCACGGGGAATCGGCAATTGACAGATATCGAATTAGCTTGAGTATGGCTGCAAGAAATAATATTTAAGCTATGAGCTCGTTTCAGAGAGTATATGAAGCAAGATCAAAGCCACTAGCATGAGACTTGGGCTCGACCTTCTTTGTTTGGTCTTGTTGATATTGCGTCGCCGCGCCCGAATGATCTTGAGAATTAGTGTTTTAGACCCCTACCCTGAACTTCGAGTTATAAGCAGCAGCTGAGAATATCCATCGCGTTCTTTATCCGTGCCAGTTTACTAAGTGCAGCCAGGCTTGCTGCCCTCCTTGTGTCATATTTGCACTCATCTCTATACCTCCTCGGCTCAGCTTTGTATGGTACAACTTTAACGTTTATCCACCTTTAGAAACCTGTCCTTCTTTTCCATCCCGGTCACCTTACAGGCGTGTGGGCTATGACATTTTCTGTTGCCGTGCGTTACTGCTTTTGTTCTCGTGCGCGCGCGGGAAGTCAGTTTTCTCTTGCCCGATACAACTCAACTCTTCCATTGTTTTCCTTTCGCCTCCTTTTTGTGTGCCTGCCTCTATAGGTTGTTTTGGGATTTAGCCTTTTTTGACATTTCTTTGTAGACATGCGTCCTGCGGGGATGCCCCTCCTTCTGGCATTCCCCATCCATTCCGTAGTCTTGGGTGGTCCCAAGACTCCTCGCGCGAGCTTGACGATGCGGAAGACCTGTTATTTTATCCTAGTATCACTGTCGACATGGAATCATTTGCTTGATCTCAATGGTGCTGTGCGAGTTCTGGACGTCACTCATGATAAGTTGCCCCACTTTTGAATCTCCTTCAAAACACCGACTGAATACTACGACGAAACTTCGAACAAAAAGTAAATTCTCTCGCCCTTTCTATATAAGTGTTAACCACATTAAACATCGCCTGCTACACACTACTGCTAGTCGACACATGCACGCGCTCCTCGAAAGCAATTGAAGTCATGCCGGTTACCACATGGGAGCCGGCCACGAGCTTAGCCTTATATTCTCGAACGCCAAGAATCAAACGTGGTCCTAGTACAAACATCCGCACAAGTTGGAAGATGTCAAGCAAACCAAAGTAAATTTGAGTTCCCAGGGCAGTCGTATCCTGTAGAAATGATGAATGGTGGTCGCATGCGTGGCAAATCAGCATACCGCTGACATCGTCGAAAAAAAATAACCGAGATCGAAGCACGAAACAATAACAACGCTAGCGTATGCGGAACCTCATCAGCGGACTAAGCGACCCACAATGACTTATGAGCTCACCTTGTGAAGTAAACCATGTGAGTTTTCATCAACACCGTGAAGGTGTCCTTGATAAGTCCTCTCGCCGAATGTTGTCGCAATTCATAGAAGTGTTTTACAGCGACCCACACTGCGAAAATCAATGCGAGCACCTCCCATATAGCGGTGAATATCCAAGTCATGGAATGCAGGAATAAATCATCGAAGCCAACAGTACATTGAGAGGTGCCGGAGAGAATCAGTTCCTCTGGTAGTCATGAGCCTGACACGCTTGAATATTCGAACCATGATTAAGCGTACCCCATGAATTCTTCCTCACTGATATCGCAACAACCACTCCGTCGAAAATGTTGACAGCAAGGAGGATGACGATGAGAAATATCAGCACCTTTCTAGATCGTTGATACATAGCGTGTAATCGAGCAATCAGGATGACTTGCATGATGTTTTAGTCAACTCGATATCATGGAGGTGTTGCGCAGCTGCGTAGCTCACCACCCAATGCTCCATATATAACGACACCTATCCAATTTTCTGCGAAGTTCAGAATAAAGCCTGAAAAAGTAATGTTAGTGGTCAGCCTCTGAGGCTCGCATACTCAAAACCAGCTCACAGCTGTGGCAGTCATTAATTAGACCAACAATATGGCCGAGAATCCCACTCACCCCTACATGGGAGTGCAGTTCATTAGACGGCCATAAACATCGGTGTGGAATACTCACTGCATCTGTCATTGAGATCGTTGGAACCCAAACTACATATCGCTAATATAAAAAAACGCAGTGTATATGAGGAGACACAAGTACTCAGCATATTTATGCTGATTGTGAGACATGATTAGCACAGTGCCAATAACTCAGCATTTCAGACATACACGGCATATGATATTCCAAGATAGCGCACCTAGAATATTTTCCATGTCAATAAAACTTGCCGACCAGACTTATGACACAGGCTACATACACTGAGATACAAGACGGTGAAAAGGGACCAGGGTTGTCTCTGGCGCGAACCAATTCTATTTCAAGCTGTTCTTCTACTAGTGCGGGAATCTGCTCACCCAGACCAGTTCAACCTATGGAACCAGTAGGTTAGTTTTTTATTCTTGCTCCGGTCATGACATGAACGTACCTCTTGCCCGAACGTTAGGACTAGAAATACCATAAGTACATGAGCATTTTTTATTACTAGCTTGCTCACCCCAATCATACATCACCCCAGCGGAGCCGGCAACTGCAAAACCATAGTTTATATTGGATCAGGAAATCATCCGAGTGGTCATCCACGAACCTACAAAATAGCTGGAAATACGATACGAATAGATGGACGGCCACCAACTGGGATCATATGAGACTAGGGTCATAGTATTTTCGAGAATGGATATGAGTGAGCTTGCGAACTTGGTAGACGCTTGACGATGGCGTTTATGTACTACCATCCGATTGTACGGCCTAAACCAACAGGAACAACTATCTTCCTTCGTCCATAAAGGGCTGTGGCAGCGGGGGAAGACTAAGCCCAAACGAGCATGAAGGGATGATATTCGCTGTCGTTATGACCCATTAATGTAACGTGAAACACACCAGATACACCTCTGGAAGATGCTGAACACTGGTCCGTTGCTCGTGATCAAATCAGACCTTTGAAATATCTCCTGGATCCATGAAGCGATTCAGATATAATGATCATCATGGCGTTGGCATTGGTTTGCCTGAATCCGAATCTCATGAGTGGCTGATGGTGGAGAAACTTAATTTTCCATGACCAGATAGAGAGAACGTGGAAGACCACCATGTGCTCCTTCTTGATTAAAGACCAGCGCATCAAAGAGTCTGACGGGCCGCAGCCACAATCAAACTTATAGATGTGCCTACTGTTGGTAGTGCACTAGCATGATGATGGCGGACAATAGATTTATACCCTCACAACCTCCATGTCAATTCACGTTTTTCACGTGGATGCTCCGTTCTTTCGCTTCTCGAGCGGTCCATAGCACAGCAATTAAACATCATATTGAGATTGTTGGTAATGAGACACTGACTTTCTTCCTCGAATAACCTGTGCGATGAAGTATTTGCTAGATTGTGGACAGTGTCAAGTTTTTCTGTCGAACATCGCCAATCCCATCATGGAGCTGATATCTAGACACATATCACTGTCACATGTATCCTGTTAGCTTGGAATGATAAGACAGAAAAAAATGTAAGTGTTGTTCAGCTGCAGTGCTCTGATGCGCAGCCTGAGGGCCAAGTTGATGCGGCATGAGCTTGGCCCTACCAGTGGACTTCGTTAGCACATATGAATGAGGCTTGGCGCAGCATCATGATGAACAATGGTTGACCCCTGACACAACTTACGGGTGATGCGGCGTAGTACCGTGCACTGGATTATGGATTAGAAGCTTATACGGTAGGTGACTAAGTTGGATTTTGAATTTTGAATTTTTATATTTGGCGCCCAGTGCCCACCCCGACATGTCACGTGACGTGAAGACTCACTGGTAGCGACAGAGGTGACCGAGAAGGTGCTATGTGCCCCTTCAAGTTACATCTCGGGAACAGGACAACTTCTGTAGGAGTTTGTGCATAACGGTAATTACACAAGACATCCGTTGCAATACAATGCTCTTGGAATTTGAGCTCGAGCCTGCAGCCTTCCATGGCGAGGTCATGTATATGTGTGACTAGACAGATTATATTACTGGTAGAGTCGAGAAAGTCCGATTCATAGTATATCATCGACAACCGGAAAGCGTTTTGCACGCATCAAATGACAGACGGCATGATATTTATTTTGTACACAATTTATTCAGAACCTTCTGCTGGTGCCGGGGGTTTTGGTGATTTCCACTTTAGCAAGTGTAATAGATCATAAACGATCGACCGACTACGGTCTCTCTACTTCTTCCAGTAGCTTGCCGTGAGCCGCCGCGTATAATGCTTCTTTGTCCCCAGACTCGTCCACTAGAGCACGCAACATACCGTGTTCATTTCGCAATAGCTCCCATGGGCTGCCAAATTCAACCTGTACAACTTGGTTGGTACGGAAACATAATACAAGATGAGATACTCACAAGTTTACCGGCATCGAGTACCATCTATTGAACGGATCATGAGTCATCAGTACACAATAACCCAATTTCGAACACGCACGATTTTGTCAGCATCGATGATCGTCTGCAGCCGATGTGCAACGATAATCTGGGTCACGTTATTCAGCTCATTGCGAAGAGAAGATTGGATGGCAGAATCGGTCTTATAATCTGCAAAGGATTATAACGTGGTAAAAATTCACAACACGTGAGGTACACACCAATAGCGGAGGTTGCCTCATCTAGTATAAGCAATTTGCTTCCGCGAACCATAGCTCTAGCTAGAGCTAAGATTTGGCGTTGACCAACTGATAGATTCGTTCCTCCGCTTGCGATCACACTGTCCAATGTTAACCTCCCCTCCTCGGACTCGTCTTGGACGGAAAAGAGTCCGGCAGCGCGTAAAGCATCGTAAAGCACCGCATCATCGTGCTGATCGAAGAGATCCAAATTCTGACGGAGCGTTCCGCTCAGGAGCTCGGGCTACACGGGATGAAACATGTCAGTAATGTGAACGAGCAACGGCACAAGGAGCGTACGATTTGAGGTATGATGGTCACGTTCGACCGCAGGGCATTCAAATTGATCCCACTTGTCGGAATCCCGTCATAATAAACATCGCCTTCTGTGAAAATGCAGCGAAGGAGCGAAAGGGTCAAGGAACTCTTCGGGACAGTCAATATAAGTCAAGGTAGATAACGCAAACAAACATCACCTTTCCGCTTCCGGTTCGCCCCACTAAATTCGGATTAACGATCGAATTGGAAGTGGAAACAAGCAAGCTCGTGACATACCGATACCAACGCGTTCACCTGATTTGATGTGGAAAGACAGGTCCTGCAAAACTTTAGGTCCGTCCTGCAAGCGATGGTTAGGTAGAACGCGAAGACATGATCTAACACTCACCGATGAGTAGCGGGCCGACAGATTTTCTACGCGGAGATCGCCGCTTGCAGGCCAGTACGCAGGTGGCTGGCCGCCTTCGGTAGGCTTAGCCTCCTGTTCGATCTTGATATAACTATCGATCCGTTCCAGACTACTTCACGTAAGCCGCAGTCGGAGACATTGCGTGTCCGTACTCACCTGTTGCCTACAAAAATCAGTTAGACACAGGAGTTATGCAAGAAAGTAGCTCACCGTTAACTTCCACTTCGTTGAGGATACGAATCCACCAAAGGATCATAGAACTGAAACCGACTGTAAGGTGTGAGCGAAAATCCGCAATGGGCACACCTTGTAGATAAAATTTACCTGCCATGTTTAGAGAGAATCCAATATTTGATGCCTCGTGGGCTCCGCGACCGTACACTAGATAAGCGGCAAGAGCAGCCGAGAATCCACCGCCGATAACATCAATGCGGATACAAACCCAACTGAGAACATCCGTTAACGATCAGTCGCTCCGCAACCAACACAAACGAACCGATTTAAGTTATAGAACATGCGCGCTGATTTAGTGTAGCGGTCAATGCGATCAAGAGATTCATCTTTAAATGCCTCCTCTGCACCATACGCGCGGATCGACGCTGTTTAATGAATGAGCTCGCATATCATAGAAGCCCGGCAATCACTTACTAAGTCCTGCAATAGCAGCTCCGAAGTGACCAAGGACCGGTGCTTTCGCGTTGCTCATCTCTCGCTTGACTGATAGCTGAGCTTTCATGTAGATACGGCCGACCCATCCACCTAGCAAGCCGATAAAGAGACCGGGCAGCAAGAAGACAGGAGTCATGACCACAACGGCTCCGAGTTTCACGACCATAGTCAAAGAAAGCTCGACGACCCAACCAATTCCCTGCGCAAACGGACCATCAACTAGATAACCTATCAGCGAATGTTGACCATCTAGAAGCAAGCGACTGACTGGCTCTTATGTCCTGTGTGCACCGGGTGATGACTCGAGATGTAGGTGTCGTGTCTAACCATCTGTCCAATAATGAATGTATGCGTGACTGTAAAATTCAGGGAACACACCTTAGCGTTGTTCCAAGTACAGATTGGACGAGTTTCTTGTGAATGGTTCGTGACGCCCGCATTGAACCCCGATAGTACAGGTAATACCCAACCGAATACATGAGACAGCCAGAGAGCATGAGTAAGGCATATACAGAGAGATAGCTTACAATAAAGGTAAGCAACTAATTCACGAACAACAAGTATTCTTACAATTTGACATCGACCTCTGACGGTAGATGACGTTCATATTGAGATGCCCAGTACCCAAGGAACCAGGTTTGCACAGTGTTGACGAAGTCCGTCAACCCCACCAGAGCCATGAACAGGACCCAGAACGTTATAGGATAGTTCCCCCCCAAGCCGGTCAAGTAGAGCTTGACTGTAGCGCGATATCAGCAAGGTACCAAGGATGTATGGAGGGAGGAACCAACAAGCTGGCCAGGAGACATGGCCCTCCGCAATTTCCTCAGACATCACTAACTTGCCATCGGACTTGGCCTTCGGTTCTTCTGGAGTGTCTACAAGCTGGGCATCTTTAGCGAGGATTTCCTGTTCTTTAGCCATTTCCGCTGCAAGCTTGTCGTCCTTTGCAATGGCCTCCGATATCGATCCATGGCTGACAATCCGTCCGTTGGAACCCATAGACACAACGAATTGCGCTATAGAACTCGCCATAGCGACATTATGTGTCTGCACCGCCTTAGAAAAGGGGTAGTCAAATTTAACCTACTGCACGTACCACAAGGATAATTGTTCGATCTTGGACGAGATCTCCTGCGAAACACTTATCTACAATCCACTTGGACGTATGGACATCCAGAGCGGCCAAAACCTGTTTGTGTCTACTCACTAATAGCTCAGAATAGAGATGGAATGACCAACATCATCAAGCAACAGTGTGTTCGCCGAAGAATAGATAGCTCTTGCAAGAGTAATTCGTGCCTAGCATGTTTCAGCGGCCGCGTGCCCACTCATGAAGAATGTTATTACCTTCTGACCGCCACTTTGAATACGAAGTCAGACTTATAACAAACGAAAGCTCAGTCCATGGAGCTTACCTTAGCGTAAGACCTTTTTCTCCAACTTCCGTTTGGTCGCCCGCTTCGAACAAAGTCAGGTCACGCTCCAGAGCACACTGGTACAAGACTGCACTCAAACATTTCAATAAACGTTCACAGGGGCAACTGAATATTCACCTTTCTTGTATCGAATCTCATCATAGGGTGCGCCAAAAAGAATGTTGGCCTGAGAACTACTTCAGCATACGAATAACTACTTTTGCGATGCTACGTACCCGAATGGTTTCATTTTGGACCCAGGATTCTTGCGCAGCATAGGCCACACCACCTTTGCGAGGGAGGTTGAACCAAGATGTTGGACCAGAGGGCGTGAAGTGCATCTCGCCTGACCAATAGATAAGAGGCATCTAAATAGAAGGTTCGACGATTACCCACCGAGCAAAGCCATAAGCAATGATGTCTTCCCAGAACCTGTCGATCCGACGACAAGGTTGATACAACCGCGTTGGAAGTACATTTCACCATCGATGCGAAGCCTGAACTTGCGCTTCGATGGTGTCAACGACCCACGGGAGTCATTAGACCATGCAAAGACAGCATCTCTGAAGCCGATGAGGTCAGATTCTCCTTCTGACTGGACAAAGAGCTGGACTCTGTCATCGTCCTGTTGTGCGTGGGCATCCAATAGTTCTGTATCGCTCAGGAAACTGTTGACACGGTCCAGTGATACTTTGGCTGGAAAGCGTCGTTTGTTAGTGATTTCGGAGCAAACAAAATAATTACCTTGAGTAAATCTTGGAATGGAGAAGAACACCATGTTCAACTGGTCTCTCAGGATGTCAAAAACTGTCAGAGGAGCAACACCAGTTATTCTAAACAAGTGAATAATATTGTGAAGCTTACTTGTCATCGACGAAAAAACCTTGGAAGCTGGAATAATTCTCAGGTCAACAAATCACAACACAGCCTATACACTGACCAGTTAGGGTTTGTCCCATAATCAGAGTCTAAGAGAGAAGTTAACAAACTTGTTTTGTATGTAATCGAATGCAACGTACGAATGTCATGTAAGAAGCCATCATGGTAAACAGAGGAATTACGTAGCTATGCATGAGTCAGTTTTAGTTATCAGAGGTGACACGAAAGACGTACTTCAAGTTGTTGTTTGCCAGTTCTAAGATCTTCGTCTTCCATGTCCAGACAAGTTCTACTTCTCTTTTATCGCTGATCCTCGAGTCCAATTTCTCTTCCCATCCGAAGAGCTTGATCATACGCAGAACATTCATGGCTAGCGACCCATAAGCACCAGTTCTACGCCTATTGTGCTCGACTTACTTTCGGTCACGGTTTGCACCCGGGCATCCGTCTGGGATTTTCAATAAGTATCGACTGACCAATGAACAAAAGGTCCAACCTTGCGCATTTTCTCTGCTTGTACTTTTTGAATCCTCTGGGCAACGTACCCAGGGAGAGGGAACAAGATGAACATAACAATTAAGCCGGCAAAGGCACTTAGTAAACGGTCATCAGTCAAGTGTCAAGTTAGACAGCAGTTTGACGATACCCACCTCCAGCCAAGAATTTCGTACAAGAACCAGATACACATGCCTACTTGAAGTGGCATATACAACACTGAACGAAACACACATAAGAAAGCACGCGTCCATCAGAGCTAAAGTGTGACTTGCCGATCATGATGAAATCTCGTCCATCGGTAAGATTGCTCAAGTCAGTTGTGACAAGATTATTAATCTTCCCAACAAGGTTGTCAGCACTCGAATGCTGTTTCGGCGATTTGTCCATTTCTTCTTTGACATCCTGGGACTTTTGTTTGTTCTTTTTCGTGGAAGATGTTGATGTGGTCTCGGTATTGGCCTGCAGTGTCTCGTCGCCACTGCCATCCGTACTTTCGTCTGCAGCAGCAGTGCTAGATCCAGCTACAGATGCACTATCTGGCGTAGATGATGGCGTGGATTCCCCAGACTTCTTGCCGTCATCGGGGAGCTCAGCTTTCATTCGAATTCGGAGTGCATGCTCGAAGACCAGTTGTGTGATAATACCCTCCGTCTGCACGAGTACGCGTGTCTAGGAACCTCATGAGTGTGTTTACTAGTTATCGAACGATCGCACCCACCGCGATGAAAATATACCATTGCCATGCCAAGGCACCCGCAAATGGTCCTAAGAACAGCCAGGATATCCAGACCCATGGACGGACAACAGCATGCTCGCCTTTTGTTTCCACATAACTAAGAAAATCGCATGAGAGATGTCAGGAGATGTGATAACCAGAGTACTTACAGCAAAAGTTGATTGATTCCAACAGGAGCGGCGAGTCTTGCCAGCACCTGTCATAGGGAACTGTCAGACATAGGTACGGGTAAGAGAAATTGCATACCTGGAGAACAATCATAATAGACAAAACTATATACTCGACACAAAAAGTCTTCATGAGGCCGAAGAAGATATGTCGCCTCCGGCTCCCAAAGAAGGGGTCAAGATGCTGCAACAATTATCAGTTCGCCCCCTATGACAGTAATGTCATATACTTACAGGGAAACTCTTCTTTTTGAGGTTCCTGGAATAGTCATGGTCAGCCAGCGGGGGAAGTTCTTCGTGCGACAGGTGGGGAACTCGATACGCCTTGAAGACGATGGGGTCCAGCCAGATATATAGAACCATAGACAACCAAGAAGAGGTTTGCTCGGGGTGAGGACTGTCAGCAGGGTTCTTTAAAATGTGAGCATTGGTGATGAGAAATCTATTGAATACTATGACATACCGCAGGGTCGACTGGAACATATTGTCTCGGGCTCACGAGAGGAAACACGATGCTCGACAAAAAAAGAATAGTCACTTTCGCCCACAATAAACCCCCTTCTTCAATATCCTTGGGTTGTTTATGGAATGTAACAAGGGGCCACAGATCCCGATACGTAAATACCGCAAAGACTGCAAAGAGAAGAGTAGCCAGGTGATTGGACACCAGCCTGCTCCATCGGGGTTTCGTTGTAACCGAAACGAGCCCGAGGATAGATGCATAAGCCTGGAAAGAATAAGCGAATATCGAGATGGATAACCACGAATCACCAACAGCAGTCATGCACATGGCGAATTGCAACCACTCAGCGGGAGAGAACGGAATGTAGCCATCAGAGGGACGGGGCCTGCGATGCTTTCCTTTGGACAGTTTGTTGGCTCCTGTTACGTGCTCTCCACGTTCATCCAATATGAAAGTAGCCAATGACAGTCCCAGAAACGTAAGACAACCGATAAATCTTGCAAACTTGTATGCAAAAATGACCCAACCACCATGGTGAGAGATAAATACTCGAGCCTCGGAGAAAAATCCGTCGGCTGTGATAGGTTCATCGAAAAAAACGGTGGGCTCTTCCTCGGTCTTATGAGGCAGGAGATACGACCAAAGCTTTTTGACCGGCTTAGATAGCATTATTAGATGTAGCAAGAGAAGAAAGGCGGATGCAGCGGCAAAATATGCTGGAATCATGAGTGTGCTGTACCAGACTCTGAGAATTGAGGGTGTTAGAAACTTCAGGCATGAGCTTGGAGCACAATACTCACGCATTCGAGTTGCCATGGCTTATGAGTTCCCGCTCGAGAGACTGAAAAGCGTCAGACCTCAAGACGACCTGCCATGGTATAGGATCGGTATACCGACTCCAGAGCGACATTTCCTGAGAGACAAGTTGGTCTGATCAAGTTGCGCAGTGAAAAGAGTGCGCGGTTCTGAAATCAACAACTTTATAATAGGGTACGTAATTGCACGTAATTAGATATCGGATATCGAGTCCATATGGGTGCGTGTGTGAATTGAGTTTCTGTAACACCGATTATCACCCCGGACCTTTTATATATAGTTGTTTGTTGATATCTGCTTGCTAAAGTGGCTTACAATTAGTCTGACTCGCTCAGTTATCAGTCTGTAGTTTTGGTCCCTTGCGTTATGGCTACTAGTTCTTCATCGTCTCATTCTGTTGGCGATGCTTTGTCTTGTCCTATCGCTCTGGTAGTTTCGGATCTAAAACTTCCTGATGATGGAAGTGTCAACGTGCGTCTTACGCCAGTATTTTGGGTTCGTTTGCAATTTGTGAACCAGTTTCCGTCGGGCTATCTTTTGCCAGTCACTGTTCTTAGTCTTGGCTACATCATTGACCATTCCTCGATTTTTACTCAGGAACAACGTCTGTGTCGTGTCGGTGGGTCGCAAGGATGGATTTGTCGTGTGTGCATGTCTGTAATCATGATTGTGCACCTAATCTCATCGTTTTCAAGCATTTGAGGGTTGCTAGGTGTGATTTGTCTCGTCTTATCTTGCCTGTCCCTTTTGCAATTGATATCGCTCTCAGCGGGCCGAGCATTCTCATACTGATGGCATTGAACGTTTGTAAAGGCAGACTCTCGATGCTAAACAGCATTTTGTGAATTATCATCAGCGCTCCCCTGATGCTGTTGTTCATGAAGAGCCAGAGACCATTCGAACGTCTGAAGAGCTGGAAATTATTAAGGAATGCCAACACAACATGAGTCGGGATGTTCAACGCAAAGCCTCGAGTATTGTGCCTATGATAGTGTGTGTGCCAGCGAACTCAAGCATGTGGATCTAAGGAAGTTTCCTTTGCATTTGCTGCGCGTTGATTAATGATTGCTTGCATTGCCTTCTAGCTATGATTGATGGTCTTGAATTGCTATTCTATATCCAGGACATGATGCGCAAAACAGGATACGACAGCAATGCAATCTCCAAAATCTTCAAGTTCGAGAAAAAGACAGATGAGTCATTGGACCTGCGCCATTCTCCAATTCCACACTGCATTGGTGATGAACTATATCACCGCGCGATCCCTCGTCCCCTGTACCCTGCCTGACTTCTCCTTGAACTTCCAGAGGTCGGGGCAATGTTAATTGAAGTCCTGCTTCGGCAGTCCCCACTAGGGGTCGGTGTTGCCGACATGGACCTTGCTCAGCGGTTTTTTTTGCGAGCAAATTAACATTTTCTGTCTCTACTATGTGCGAGTCTGGAAGGTGCACCGCAAACTTGAATAGATGATGAAACTCGGGACTGGCCTATTCCTGAAGAATGAACTCGACGAGTTGAAGTACAATACTGGGAAGATTCTTCTCTCTAACACGATGACTATCTTGTCGAAACATATGTCTCCTACATAATACCCTATGACTGAAGCCGAGGCTACTATGTACCCCAAAGGCCCTGACCTGGCAATAAATCACTGCCTATGTATAATTCGTTGCCTCATTAACATATGCGCTGCACCCTCGCCACTATTTGCGTGTGCATGCAACCGTCAGTGCACATGTGTGACCAAATTCCAGTAAGTTTAGTCCAGTGAGTTCACGCGCAGTGCGGTGCCAGCTGGCAGACTCCAGAACTTTGTATATTACTTTAAATAACTTTCTCATCTGTTCACCGGTTCTCTGATGAACATGCCCATAACGAAAATGGCAGTCCAAATGAACAATACCACTTATCACAACGCAATGACTTGCAGCTCGGTTGGTCATGTATATACTTGCGCAAGACAACGGAAGAATTCCTTCGTCAGAAGGGTCCTGTGATACCCGGAGGGCTGTTGTATTTCAATTTATCAATACACGCCAGGTATTGGCAGTATCGAGGGTCCTTGTGTATCCCTGTTTGGATGTTGTGGGGAAATCAGGAGCATGTTTAATAAACAACTTGCTCGACTAGTACTATCATGGCTGCTCCAATCGCGGAGTCCTTTGCACCTAGGCCATCCTATTCAGAACCATTTTTGCAATATGGACCAATTCCCCTGTTTGAACATCATCTCAAGGTCTTGACAGACTCATATTTAAGCTTCTTCCAAGAAAGGTTCGTCCACTCAGTCATTCCAATACACCATCTAACAGTGGCACGATTCCCGCAGAAAGCGTATCGAAGAAGTATAGTGAGTAGCATTTACATATAGTATTCCAGGACACGCTTTGACACTCATTCAGCATCGAATCCTTGCTCAAACTTCACCGCAAAGTGAAATCCATCGACAACTATTTAGACGATCGGACAGAAATTAGCACTTCCAGGAGAGCATGGAATGAGGTTCGGGATAACGTTGAGAGAGGTTGGTTCTACTTCAATCCCAGACCTATGATCCCTTATAGGCGATACAGAAGCACAAACCAGACAAGCATTTCTCGCAACGCTTACGGTAGATGTTGTTAATGCCTTGACATCACTCAAGGTGCGTTTACCTCATTTCTCGGCGTCTTGTCGAATCTCTAATCGCTGAATTTTAGGAGACGCAGGAGCGTACGCGCAAACGTATCAAAGAAGATTTGAAAGAATCTGGCAGTGCCTACACTGACTATGCTGAGAATACATTACCAAAGCTGAAGCGCACATACCTGAAAAAATGCCAAGAAGTCGAGGTCAGTACTGAGGTAGTAATTTTTTGCAGTCGCCTACTATGTGTTTTCAAGGATCACAAAGCTGCCGCGGCCGCCGCGCCGCCGCATCCAATATCTACTAGTACTACGCCGTATCCAGAACAAAGCGGAACTACTTTGAGTACTTCGCGATCCAATCCCAGTTTGCCATCCCGGCCTGTTGTTACTGCCCCTCAGCCTTTACGTCCTCTTGATAGACGGCCCTCTGGAAGCGCGCCTGGACCACGTAATCGCTCACCGTCTACTTCGGGCACATTTTCTGATTTTGCTCAGCATGGTATGATATAAATATGGCACATACTGATTCCGACTTGACTCAACCAATTAGGAAAGAAACAACTTAACCAACTCATCACATTCTTAGATAAGAGCGGTACCGTGAAAGAGAGTCTGGGCGTACGCTCCGAAAATAGCGCGCTCCGTGCTGTCCGTGCGAAACGAGAAGCTGATGATGCTGGTAAGTCATGCGTTGGTGTGCGCAAGCTGTGCGAAGCTAATTTCAGCACAGATAGGGAATACCGAAAAGGCGTTCATTGGCTAGAGACCCTTAGACTCAGGCGCACTAAGATTCTTGCAAGTGGTTACAAGGTAATTTTTTTTAACCAGCCTGCATCATCCACTGGCAGCTGACCAGTAAGCACCGTTCAGAGTCTGGAGACCTTTGTGTATGAATATTCGAATACAGTCAAGAATGTGTTGGAGAAATATCTCGATAACATGACGTGCGTGTATTTTGATTGCATTACTTGCATTCGTAGTTCTGAGTTTGTCACTAGTGCAACTACTACAACACAGACACAGCTATCATCACATGGACGTTCCGTGGTCGACAAGATCTCCCCAGAAAAAGATGTATCGCTTGTAACGACCTTCATTCCTCGTTCACTGGCATCGGCAATAGCCAAGCCAATACTTTACTATAACTACAATGTTGGCGAATGCAACGACCTCATCTTCGGCTTTAGCCTGGTGGATTATGCCACTGCTCAGGGCCTTGGGGAATATGATATTCCAAAAATTATGCGTATCTGTGTAGAAGAAGTAGATCAAAGGGGACTAGACGCCGAGGGCATTTACAGGGTAAGCTCCGATACAATTTTCTGGCTTCAGATGTTGATAGTCATAACAAGATATCTGGCAGGCATGCTATCGTACAGGATGTAAGTCTACCAGCTTTTACAGGTCATATGCTTTTCATCAGTATTCTGCAGCTACAACGTAAGATAGAGCGAAACGAAGCCAGTTTCAAGTTTAACGCGCTTACTGAGGATATTTATGCCGTATCCTCACTATTAAAGGTATTGTATTCTTCCGGCAACTATGTGCTGTTACGACATTGATGTCTCATTTCCAGTTGTATTTGCGCGAGCTTCCGGAACCGTTGTTTAGATTTCCACTGCAGGATCGTATAGAGCATACGGGAGACCGAGGCAAGCACTCGGGAGTTATAAACCATCCCGAAAATTATCTGACTTTATGTTAAGCCGAACACCAGTCGAATCACTTTGCCCTACTGCGTTCGAAGATACGGCGGCTACCTGCCGTCCATCGTGCGACTCTGCGTGCCCTGGTTGAGCATCTAACCCGGGTAGCATCCAATGCAGATAAGAACAAGATGGACGCAAAAAACCTTGCAATTGTATTCGGTGCCGTCATCTTTGGTGAAGATGAAATTCCAAAGGGCGGTGACCTTTTGAGTGTTCAGTCATGGAAGGTTAGTCATTCTATATTACTTGAATTGCCAGAGCTAATCTTTCGGAATTCAGGATACGCTGATGGAGGACATGATTAACAATGCTAGAGATATTTTCGAGGACCTTCCGCCTGCCGGTAACTCCCCTCCTTTGCCTGCTGCACCACTCGGTGAACCCATACCTGTGTACACGTATGGTTCATCGCACACGAAGATTGGCAGTGTTTCTCCGAGGCCTCAATCCCCCAGAAGCCCAGAAGACTTCACTCCCCGTCTCCCCATACGACCGACAGGCAGCATACATCCTTCGCTCCGTGCAAACCCGGCTTCGCCGACACGTATCACCATGGAGATTCCTTCGGTGTCATTACGAACTGCTCGGGGCGGAAACGATGAGTCATCGCCGTCGCCTACTGGTTCTGCGTCAAAGCGCACGGAATCGGAGATAGACATATCGCCGTTCCCATCGCCTCCCATCTCTCCTGCGGGCGAAGTGGCAAGCGAACCAATACAATAAGGTTATCTCTTTGTTGTGCATCGAGTTTTAAGATGGAACTTTTAACAAACACTTTGGCTCAGGGTAATTGTTTCTCTGGATAATTGACGTTTACATTATATTAGGACGAAGTGTTGAGATTGAAACATACATGTTGTTACTTGTGATCCACATATCCATGATCCACATTGTGCAGCTAAATATTACAAGGATATATCTGTTGATGAGTGATATTGCTCAATCACCCAGTCCATATCCATTTCCTCCTCTCGAGCTCGCTGGGCTTGCCAGGAGGACTGCCACTCTATGACACGTGGGTGAGCCAATACTCTGAAAGGACATTATCACGTCAGTCAATACGCCCCAAAAAATCCAAATTAATCCCAAACCTTGAAGGGTCAAAACCGACGATCTCCAGTCCTTCCAAGCTTGTGGCTCTCGAGAGCGCGACATATGCTTCCCAAAGGCAAATCAGCTTCCATAGACAACAAGACATAGGTTCAATCGTTCACCTTGCCCCTTCTCAAAGATCCTCCTCAGATCAACCTTTACTCGACTCATAGTTTGGCCCTGAGCCTTGTGAATGGACATTGCCCAGGAAAGCACGAGAGGCACTTGTACTCGTTGTGCTTCGCAGTTGCCTTTCAGGCCCTGGACGTCGAATGGTAAGGGCGCACAGAGAAGGTGTGTCCCGTTTGTGAATTTGACGAGCGGGAATTTGTCGTGCTTCCCAAATGCGTGTTTATTGAGAGCTAATAGGCCTTGGTACTGGGCTTCTGTATTTTCGCCATCAGCCTCCGCATCAATGGTAGGAAGAAAGTCGCCATTTTGGGAACGCAGAGGTTCTGCCTCAAGTTTGGCAATGTCGATGTGGCGCTTAATCGCCTCATGCGTGGTGATGAAGTCAACCACTTTGCCGAGTGAGCCATTGACCAGCCTGCCTTCCAAAAGGTTCTTTGAAGGTATGTTCAGGCTCAGCCAATACAGTCATTTCAGGACACTCACTCTAAGTAGCATTACCTGTGCGTCAACCTGAATGTGTAGTGAATTAGGTAACATATTTAGACATACAGCAAGTCGCAACAAACCTTTAGAGATATCTCCCGCGGAGCAACTAGTCTTTCTAATAGCCGCTCTGCAGCATCAGCTGATATTCGCTTTCCATACATGTTAAAACCCCTAGACTCCATGGCGGTATAAGTCAATATTCCCCCCGATAATACGTCGAGATGTGTTTTATTGCACAACTCCACCTGGCTCTTCAGTGGAAACCTGTGGACGACAGTGACTAATGATACACCACACGGAGCGAGGAATGCTAAAAACGTACAATTGAGTTGGACTTATGCCATCGGAGTATTCGACCACGCGGCTCAACTTGAAGAACTCTTGAACGTGCCAATCTTCCAATTGCCCTGACCTCGTCGCAGAGAGCATATCAATGAACTCTACAGTTCTGTAAGATGTCCGGAGAGCTGTATGGAATCCGAAGTACCTACTACTATCCTTCTGGCGGAAAACTTTTGTGAGCAGAACTGGCTCGTCGACGCATCGAGACCAAGATAGCGCATCAAAAGTAAAAGTAGGTGGTATTATTGTTGTGGAATCTTGCTCGGGAACAGGTGGAAGCTGGAAGAAATCACCTGACAGGATAAGCTATTTAACCTGTCAGAAACCAGAGGGTAATATAAGGGCCAGAATAGCAACTATTCACCTGTATACCTCCAAATGGGAGGCAGCTTCCCCGAACAGTCTGACCAATCTCTTCCTACCCAATAAGTTAGGCAGATGAAATGTGGTACTGGCATGAAATCATACGAGCTTGTCAAATAAACGGCCGTCCAGCATCGAAACTACCGGATGTTAGCACAGTTGTCTAACACTCTAGGTCAAACGTACTTTCATCGATTATGAGGGCACGAGTATGTGTCCATCGTTTGATCGCCCTTGGACTTAGAACATCCACCAACTCCTTGACAGATTCCTTGCCCAAACCTATACCTGCCCAGGAATGAATGGTTGAACCACCGATGTTCATGCCTGCTATGCCTGTGGGTGCGGTGATGGCAACCCCGCCAGCCTCACGTCGCAACAATTTTATTATTGCTCTCAATAGAACTGATTTTCCGGTTCCTGGAAAGTTATACATTCATTCCTTATCTTAAAAAGCGGACATGCAAGCTTACCTGCTGGACCTGTGAAAAATATGTTTTTGCCACTTTCAACGAGTCGAAGGACCCGTCGCTGCTCTTCAGATAGCTCAATCACTGGTGGAGGGGGAAGAATGGGAAGTTCGGCTTCTTGCAAAGGAATGTAGGGTGGAGGAGGCGTAAGTCTGTTACTATTTGGTATCGTCTGTAGCGTATTCGAGGGCACTTCGTACTCTATCCAATGACGGCCCGGTTGAGGTTCTGGATACCGTCTCGCGGACTCACAAGGAACCGTGCCCATGGATGTCAGGGCTGATTGATGGTCTTCAGATCTTACATCCCACGTAAGTGTAGCTGTTGAACAGAACAGCATGTTACCACATCCAAAGGACCAGAACTAAGAATATACACCTACTACTGGTAGTTGTTTGCGTCACAGATACACTGACAGATGTGGGTAGGCCTGCCAAAAGCCAAGATTTCGCTTCCTCCAATGTGTCGAACCCCTTGCCGCTAGTACCGCTAAGACCAAAGGTCTCAAACAATAATCAAACAACGGTGATTGTGCTGAGTCGGCAAGGGCACACTTACTGCAGCCTGGAACTATTGTGACACGTCAATACTCGACCTAAGTTACACGTCGACAACTTCAAGGGACTTACATCGTTGAAATCTGAATAAATTTTTGGGCCTTCGCGGCCAATGCGCACGGCATAGTATCGCGCTGGCATGGCCACCAACAGACTGTTCGAGAGTTTCGGAGAACGTTTTAACTGCGAACACTATTTGAACCAAGCAGGTTACAAATTATTGGATACGTAAATCAAACTCAAGTAGGCTGCTGGGTTACAACGTTGCGTCCGAGTCGTGTTCGGAACGCGCTACGCGCAACTCTATGTCACGTGGTATAAGCATCAGCGGATCAATTTCCCCAAAGAGGTGCTTTCCCGAGGGTCACCTTCTTTCAGAAAACGTGGATCCAAAGCCCCAGATCTGCTTTGGGCACAATAGCGGTTCGCGAACCGCCATTGGCCCACGCGCACGAGTCGCCCTTCTTTGGCACTCGTTCCTCGAACAGCCGTATCAATCCATTCCATTATAAACTAAGTATCTAGAACCAGCCAGCATCAAGCCCTCTCACGCGTCGGAGTATTCTTGGACCTCATGCTGTTGATCACTCGAAATTGGCACCCCAAATGCATGGACGGCAAGAGACAATGGAGCAACATTGGACATTGGCTGCCGGCTCCCTTTGATGCCTTTTCCTGGTCACGTATCAAGCCGTCATAGTGGGAGAATGTAATTCAGCTATCCAAAGATGTTCAAGAGCAGGCTGGGGAAAGATATGTTTGCAAACGCGCCCACCGAGAGTGCCAGTGTACCAAGGCCGACGTCCAAAGCAGAGGATGCCAGCGCTGTGGGGAAATGTGATTCCTTCCACAAAAGAATACGACGATCCATTTACTACTTGTCATTCTGAAGTGCATGTTCAGCCTGATATTGATCACTTATTAGAAAAAACACCAATCCTATTATCAATGACGTAGATATCAAGTCCAATAGGCTTCCCGGGATTCGTCTCTGTCCATGGCCTCGGACTCGTCATCCACGCACATCTGGTCACTCAGCATTTCACATTCCATATTGTTATGCCACTCCAATACGCGAGGGTGCACCATTACTCTTGCAGCCACAACAAGGCGTGGTTAGTTCAAACATGGCAAAGCAGATTTTGAATGGGAAGCTTACCTATTTGGATGAAAATTCAATACTTCCAAGGTGCTCATGCTAGTAGCACGAGAAAGTGCAACATATGCTGAGGACGCGTCATGAACACGTGTGATGAGTCTTCAGGAAAGAATTACCTTGGCCTTTCTCAAAAGTTCGCCCAAGGTCCACTTTCACCCTTTCAAGAGTTTGCCCCTGAGACTTATGGACACTCAGTGCCCAAGCCAATATCAAGGGAACCTAATCTTGTTCATTCACCGAATTTAAGCGAAAGTCAGAGGGCTCACTTGTCGTCTTCTCGCCTCTACACCACCATCTGCATTATCGACGGTAAAGTCGGTTGGCACACACAGTATTTCTTTGCCACACGTGAATCGGACAACGGGCCATTGGGAATTGTCGTAGTTGACAGGGAGCTCGGACTTCGTGGAGGGGCCACCCTTGAGACCCTCCTCCGTGGCAATTGGAGTAGCGGTCTGCATAGCCTCCTCAGAAGTACTAAATCTGATCACTTGCCCCACAGACCCGTTTACCAGCTGCCCCTGCACCATGTTCTATGGAGTTGTGTGTTGACTCAAGAGCTCGTATTGGAAGCAGCTGACATTACCTTGATAAGCATGACTTGTGCGCCGACCTGCAGCGTGTGAGATCGAGACATGCAAACAAAAGGAGCACGACTCACTTTTAGATGGATCACTCGTTGTGCCACAAGCCTTTCCAACAAGCGTCCCATCTGTTCGAGTGAAACAAGATTGTCATTCGAATCGCGTCCAGGTGAGTCGGTTGCCGGGTATTTAATTCCATCGCCAGACAGTGAAGCAAGCTTTCTTTGATTTGCTGAATCAACCTCTGAGCGAATGGGGTACCTATGGGAAGTTTTGAAACTAAAATAACGCAAACATACGAGAATCCCGTACAGCTGTGTTGGCCCGATGCCATCCTCATACACGACTGGGCGCGAAAGACTGAAAAAAGCTTGAACAGAAGCTTTGTCCAACTTTCCAAAACGCATCGCGTTGAGCATGTCGACAAATTCTAAATTTATGTAGGCGAGTGAAGGCGGAATCACGAAGTATCGCTCACTTTGCTCTTTTTGCCGAAAAACTCGCGTTAGCACTATAGGCTGTTTGATGCAACGACTCCAACTTTCCGCCTCAAAGGCGAACGTAGATGGTATTTGAATTCCGTCTTTACCACGTTCCGGCACTGGAGGAAGTTGGCAGAAGTCTCCCGAAAGTATCAACTACAGGTTGCAAACACATCAGAAACCATAAGTTAAGAAGAAAGGGTTTGGATCGTACTTGTATTCCACCAAAAGGTTTGTCTGATCGCCTTACAATGCGAGCAATGGCATCCTATTGTTCAGAGGTAGTGTCAACTTCAGCATGAGATTACAATGCTTCGGTAGCACCATACCAGTTTATCAAAGAGCTTTCCGTCGATCATGGATACTGTGTAATAATACAATCAGCCTCCTCATAAGACAATAATAAAAAATCGTATGCCGCAAACCTTCATCTATTATGAGAGTTTGAACGCATTGCCACCGTTGCTTGACCCGTTCAAACTTAGGCTGACCAAGAAATTTACCCCCAAGCTTCTTTGCGTCTTCTAGACCAAGCCCGATACCCGCCCATGAATGTACGGTAGTTCCGCCAATGTTAACTGATGCTATTCCCGTTGAGGCCGTTATAGCGAGACCTGAGTGGCCTCTCCCACCACGCACTCGAATTATTTCCCGTAAGAGAACAGATTTACCGGTGCCTGGACAGAGTCATCAATAATGCAGGTAGGTCAGCTTGAATTACGCACCCGCAGACCCGGTAAAAAACACATTCTCGCCGCGCTCGACCCTCTGAAGCACATTTTTTTGCTCCTCTGAAAGAATGATACTCTCTGATGAAGGTCCAGGTGTATGTGTCTCGATGGGAGTCTGATCGCGTCCTTCAAGGGTTGGTGGTTGCCTCTCTGCTTTTTCTTGATTGGATCTTGCCACTCTCGGCTTAAAGGTCCACGACACGCTGGGTCCACTAGATGATATAGATTCCATACTCGAAGCTGGTAATATGACTTCCAAGACTTAGTAGCATCACGGGCCATTAGTCGTTGAATTACTCACTTGGTCCAGTTAACGCAAGCCACTCCTCAGCCTCAGTGTGAGACCGGAAGCTCTTGTGAACGGCACCAGGCCAACGCGAAACCTGTTGTCATACTATAGGTTTGCATCTATCAGTCATGGTCTACTTTACGCTCACGTTTGCATTGCACTGAAACAGACATTAAGAAAGGGGACGCGTTTCGACTGAACCTAAGAGAAAACTCACCTCAGCCCAGGAGTCGTATATTCGTGGTCCTTCGCGACCAACTCTCACAGCGTAATACTTTTTTGCTGCCTTTGGCATTGAATCTTTCATTGTCTCGAGAGCGATCCTTAGTTCGAACTTGTGGATAGGAGAAGAGGTAGTTGCCCATGTTTGTCGACCCAAATACACGTACATATCGCTAATACAACAAATACAGCTGACTATGGTCTAAGGGTACAACGAGATGCTCTTGAGATACTCAATACATAGCTTGATCAATGGGGATGCGCTGCCATCGTACTTATACAGTTTCCACAAAATTAGCCGGAAATATTCCCTCTTTGCCACCGATCTTTCCGGTCCACCTGATTCAAGTCATGAAATCATCTAATATCGACGTGGAAGTAGAGAAACTCACCAATCATCAGTACTATCACTCTTCTTTGTTACAAGAATTACATCCCCTTTAGAGAAAGAAAGGTCACCAGCCTACATATGGTCCGGTAAACAGTTGCTCATCATGATGAAAGAGAAAAAATCATACTTCAACCGCGTTGAAATCGTAGAGTGCTATCGCACGACTGACACCTTCACCAAGAGCAACAGACGACGCCAATTCTGCTTTAGTTTTTATGTATGGCGGCGCGCGATAGCTCGACCGATTGTCTGATTCGAAGAAATTATCGCCCGGGGGTGAGCTGGACGCAAAAGGGTCTGTATAAGCCGCGAAGGAATGCTGATTAGGAGATTGTTTGACAGATGGTATGCTCATTGAGCGCGAATGAGCACTATTGTTGTCGCTCAAGCCCGAGTGTGCAGAGCTAAATGGTGGCAGAGAGTTGAATGGTGATGCGGGGTCATATTGGTCCTTTACACCTGGTAACGCAGAGACACTGTTAAAAGACCGGTGGTGACTTTGCGAAGGAGGCGCAGGGTTAGATTCGAACTTTGTATGAAAATCAGACCCTGACTGTGGGGCGCGGTCATCCCACGGAGTAGGGCCAACATCAACGTCCGCTCCCCCGCTAGTAAAATACGATCCAGATTCACTTCTCTTTCCCCAGTGCTCCGGGGGGAAATCGACTCCTTTCTTCTTCCTGCTCAAGAAGGAAGGAGTGCTGCCTTCACTCTTTGGGCTCGCAAATGCGTAACCAGACTGTTCCCGTGCTCCTTCGTCGACCCACTTCCGAGTTCCTGGCAATCCGGTGCATGATTCGAGTGTCTTCACAAGAGGCGAAGCCCACTCCGGACAAGGGACTGCGCCGCTGAGAAGCATTTTCGCAGAAACATCTTGTTTGTATGCCAACGTATTTGCATCTTGACGTTCAACGATGACGGAGCCCTCTATGGAAACTCCACCAAATAAGCCTCGTGTTTTAGAATAGCTGTACCTGTATGATTCAAGTCTGAGTTATTGATTGGTATAGTGGATGGCAGGAGGCGGGCGTACATGGCAGCAACCTTGCCGCTTGAATTCAGGGATCCGATCGCTTCACCATTCCGCCCGAGAGGGCCCACCGCGACACTCATGTTGCCTCCCAAAGTGAGGTTACCAGCAGACATAAAGGATCTCTAAGCCATAAGAACAAGAATAAGCGCTTAATGAGTACTGAAATGAAATAAATATCGACATACAACAGCCTAGAATGACATGTCAGCGAAGAAATGCAGCGATTCAGGAAACATGCAGACCGACCGAAGTGGAATTAAGGATAATCAAGAAATCCGTCATTTCCGCACCAAGCTGTCCACCAACGCCTATGCCACCTGAGCCTATAGCACTTGGAGCAGACCATGCTAAGCATTAATAAGTCCTGTGAGCGGTACTGGTGCATACGTAATATGCGAAGTGCCCACATCCGTCATCAAGCTTCGCTATGACAATCCCCGTTCCCGCTCTTGCCGAGAAGAGGAAGCCTGCTTTGAAAACAGTGAAGATGGCGAATCCCTTGGCGTTCTCTAACACGCTCCGAGGAATGACCTGGTATGTCAATTGAGATTTCACCCCTGTGCTGCTAACAGCTATACTCACACCGTCAAGGCCATTGTTCTTGTTATCCACGAATGAAGAAACTGTGCAAAGTATCAGCGCCACCGTGACCCACAAAGAAGCCGGCAAATGCCCACAAATCTTTGCTGCCTTAGTGCATTCTTTAGGTAGCGTCTGTGGTAGCGGTGTATTGAACTTCATAGTTCACTACTGAAACAGAGGAGAGAGGTAAGGACTTGGAGCGCCTATGCTCCAGTGCAACTCCAATCATGCAATGCTGGGAACGAGGAAACTGAGTAATGATAATACGCAGTGTGGCGTGACTGTGACTCGGACGGGCCATGTGACGATAGTTACGCAAGGAACATTTAATTGTCTACACTATTGACATTGCATGATTTGAATAGTAAATGCCTATAGGACACGACTTCCAGCCGCTGTGATGGTCCAGCAATCTCCACCCGCCTATATTTGCACCTTGCACCGGTAATAATGTAGTGGGCGCTGAATCTGGATCATTTGTGCTTTTTTGACATTCACCATCAAGAGACATCAGAGAATGAAGCCGCTCATTCATCACCGTCAGATCACCCGCATCCCAATGCTGTAATCCATCAAGAAAGGAGGTGAGATGGGCCTTCAATTTACTCACCTGCGGTTGTAACGGATGCGTGGCAGAGAGAAGTATGTCGGATGCTGTCTGCAGTTCCGTGAAGCCCGAGCTCACCGCCCCGAGGAGAGCAGCCAACCTGTTGCATACTGTTCGCATCAATGAAATAGCCGAATATCAAATTTGTACTCACACATCGATCTTCTTTGCCCCTTCTGTCTTACCCGGAGCAAGGGTAGAAGCTAGTTGAACAATTACATTCTTTCTGAGGCTCAACTCCCCGTTTTCTTGACCATTGTCATATGCCTTGATAACCCACACAGCCCATTTCGCGAGAGCCAGATGATACGATGGGTCATTTTGCGATTCGTCTGCATCTAACGAAACGATATCCATGTCAAATCCTGAGTTTGGCTGCTCATAAAGAAGATTTTCCACAATCCGAGTGGTTAGAACAGATGGGAAGGTAGGATGATATGTGTGTGTGTGTGCCAACAACGGAGTCCATAACACAAGCGACGAGTGAGGAGGTACAAATTCGTCAGACGGAAAGTTTCTCCTCCTAAGTATTCTAGTCAACGGGAAGCCCTGAATCTGCGAAAACACGTACTTTTGTGAGAGAGATACGAGAGCACCTTTCTCAATCAAGGCATCACAAAGTCTTTCTAGAGCCCACTTTTCTCTAGAATCCTCTTGTTCGACGTCATTGCCATCAATGGTTTCCCACCCGTATGCATCAGCCGCAAAATCTGCAGCCAGCTTGGCTTCCGCGAGCCATCGCTCTATATCTCGCATGATAGCATCGATATCAGGTTGATTTTGTTTGCGGAGGGAAGCATCACGCGTGACGATCTTCAGCAGTGTCTTGTATTGCTTTAAAAGTGGAGTGACTGGTCGTAAAGGTGGCGCCGTACTCGGTCTAGGAGCTGAAGGATTTATAGTGGGAAGAAAGTAATTGTGCAATAACCATGTCAGTGACTGACCGCACCCACCAAATATGAAGCACGATAAGAATAAGAATTTTGTCCATTTCTCAGAGAAGCTCACCTCCCGTGCTGCTTCCCTGAGCACTTCAAGGCTGGGAAGATCTTCGTGCGTGGCTGAATGCCTCAATTCCACTAACCAAGAAGGTAAACCTAGTTGGGCGGCGATAGACGCTATAGATCTCGCATATGCTCCCGCTTGTAAAGGATCCACGAGACCATTTACCATTCGGATGATCGCAGCAGCATAGTTCTGCCTTAGACTCAACCAGGAGGGGCTCTGTTGCGTTTCAGAAGTATCAATCAAGCGGGCCGTTAGGATTGATAGAGTGGACTCCAGCGCATGAGGCAATGCAGTCACAGCTCTCCATGCCGACAACTAGACTCTGTCAGACGACCGTCGAGAATATTTGATTCGAGTGAAGCTCACTCTGTTGATTGCGAACCGTTTCGCCTCGAGATCGCCCTCGTCCATGAAGACCCACGAACAGAGCTGATCGAGCTCATTAATATGGGCCCATGGCACACGTCGTGGCAGTTTCATTTGTAGTGCCGACCCGAAAAATAAAAACTTGTGGACGATTTGTCTTCTGCAGCAGCCCGAAAGAGGCCAAGTGGCGGTGCGAATTTGGCGGGCTGGCGCCGATCAAATTTCTTCAAGTGTAAATGAATCTGCACAATAATAATCGGGTTTCCTGTCTCAGAAGTACGGCGTATCACGAGGCGATGGGTGGATGTTGCTGGTGTTTTGCATCAGTAAGTTTTATATTCTACCAGTCATAGCTTGAACCTTCTAGCCCGAGTATTGGATGGCGCTTTCCTTGTCGCAGCACCGGATTATACACCAGTGATTTCGCCCTACAAGCATCTGGCCTATATCCCACTGCTGATTTGCACGCTGGGTTTGTTGCACCCAGTGAGCGTCCATCAAGTTGCCATGGGATGAGCTGAATACTGCTACAGATTCCAGACGCCCGATGGTCAATCGTGATATATAACAACCTATTCCATCAATATTCCATTTTCTCCAACTCCTCGGCATGGGCCGCATGGCTGCTCTCTCCCTTGCGTCGGGTTCCAGCTCAAGCTCGACTGCGGAGATTATTCACATTTCCAGCATCCCCGAGCAGGTGTGAAAGTACCAACACGCGCCCTACCCTGTTGTTCGCACAATGCACGTGGTATTGACTTGGCTATAGTATATAATATATAGTGGTCGGCGATAGACGAGGACCGTGCTATATGGAACGCATGTAAGTTGTGTAGGGTGTGCCTCAGGGTCCTATGGGTGTTTTTACCGACGTGTTTCAAGGAGGTTCGGCGGTCCGTGCAGTAATGCTATCAGGACCCACATTGGTCATACAATTGTACAACCTGAAACACGTCTACAAACCCGCGATTCGTGTAACCGTGCGGTACCATCAATTCTACATTCACAGTATCACAGCATCTCACAGCACCTTGCGGTTGTCAAAGCGGATCAGAGGGGATGATAGATATGGCGAAGCAGCCCTCACTGCCTCTTCCCCACTGTGGTTCATATAAATTCATGCAATCCTCGTATGACCTCCCTCAGTTTGATACTTCTTTCCCCCTCCAGTTCTTGAGAAAACATGAATACCCAAGGAATTCTTGCGGCGATAACGATTGTGATGTATATCCCCTTTCTGTTTACTTCGTTTAAGGTGGCGTCCAAGTGCGGCATATGGCAAGGCCGGTGGACCTCGTTACTTGTATTCTGCATCAGTAAGTCGTTTGATATTCTAGTCATAGCTTCAACTCTGTCATTTCTTTAGTACGAGTATTGGGCGGAGCTTTCCTTGTCGCAGCAGAAAAGATTACGCCTGCGAACAATGGACTGTACACCGCGGGTTACGTGCTAGAAGTAGTTGGCCTAGCTCCACTGTTGCTTTCCACGCTTAGTCTGTTGCGCTTGATGTGGGCCATCACGTTGCTATTTTTCTGGATAGGATGAGCTGATACCCTCATAGATTTGATGGGCCTGATGGCGAACCAACAGATGAATCTATTTTCCACTCTCTTCGAACCTTCAACGCAGCAGGTGTACTCCTAACCCTCATCGGTTTCTTCACTGTATCACGTTCCAGCTCGGGTGCGAGCACCTTGCGCAAGTCAGGTTTCATCCTTTTCTCTATCCACTACATTGCCCTTGTCGGCATCTGCATCTTTCTGTGGACCAAAGTGCGCCTTATCATGAAATACCGCAAGCGGGTGAGCTTTCCAGAGCACAATTATATATCTGACTAATGTTGTTACGCTTCATTTTCAGCTCCTGAAGGTGATATCCTTCGCACTTCCATTCCTGGCCGTTCGGACGGTGTACGGTGCACTATCCACAATCACTACGGATACATTTACCGGTTCGACAACCTCATCCAATACTAGCAGCCTGGCAGAATTCGACTTGGTCACGGGCAACTGGGAAATCTTCCTCGTAATGGACATGATCACGGAGTATGCGATTGTGATCTTCTACACTATTTCGGCCTTCGTATTGCCTCTCGACCAAGATTTCAAAGCCCCAGACTTTATTGAAGATGAGTTTCCCTTGAATGGGCCTTAATGGTGACCATCGAAGCGCCGGCGTATTAGGGTCGTGTCCAATTGCGAAACAGTAAGTTGGTTTCATGAATATGATGGTACCATCCTGATGAAACATCTATTTTTTAGTGCAATCAAGGTGTATCAGGAGTTTATTTATTGTACAAAATCACAAAGAAACATATCATTCACGATTATGGATCAGTATGACTAACGTATTAGAACAAGGCGCGGGTCGCCCTCGTGTCTCGTCAATGCAACCATCACTCCACATCTGAAGCGACTTGGACTCATTTCTGGACTTTACGACGCCATGCTTCACTTTTTCACATAATCTCGCCCCATGCAGACCACGTCTTATCAGTCATTACTTCAGCCTTTGTCTCATACTTTTCAAAGTACATTCCATTGTCATTTTCTCTTCATTCGCCTTTCATTCTCGTCAGTTCATGATATACCATGCATTCTCGTACTTATGTAGAATCTACCAGGTCTGATCTCCAAAGTTCCAGGTTGGATATACCTCTATAGTCTCTCTCTCGAATACATCTCCAGCTAAATTGGCTTATACTTCTGGACGACGAGGCGTTCAAAGGTGATACATTAATGTCTAGATCTCATCATCTACGCAAGAGTTGCCTTGCTCGCAACGCCACGTTGATGGTCGTAGGAAATCTTCGGAATTTTGAGGCACTGAGGATTGATAGGCCTTGCGATGCAGTCGTTCGAATCGATTGTGTACAATGCTGTAACTATCAAGAGAACCGGTTTCAGATGTTTGCTACTGACGGACAGACGACAACTGGTCACGACACGAAACTCGAACGGATCAGGTCGTTGGATCCTCCGCAACATAAGTATACCTTGACCAGCGATCTGAGTCATCCAGAAGTACAGTCCTTGGAAATGATTGAATGAAGCGATTCTGTCACTACTAAACTCTAGTGGCTACACTCGAAGATGTCAGAGTTGCATAGTCAAGCACTTCCCATGCTGCCTCGAAAGGCAGTGGCAGAGTCTGGGAGGCGCTCCGGCTTAATTGAACTCCTGGTATGCCTTTTCTTCTCCCATCCAGCCGAATACCCAGAGCCGAGGCTGGCTGGCTAAGAGTTACTTTGCCAGGGCAAAGCTAGCTGAAGGTTGTTAAGTATGAAAAAGAAGAAAAAGAAAACGCGTTCGCTAATGTCTCGTGTATTGATGACATAAGCGATCGTGATTGGATGATGCCTAGGTACGGGGTATGTACAAAGTCCGACCGATTACCCATACAACGAAAGCGATATTCAAGAAAATAGTATCTATGTGATCGACGTCACAATTATGAAGTGGTTCCAGTATCGACTCAATTGTTCACGAGAGTTCGCATATAAATGGGATGATCATCTTCTACTTTGTAAAGCCAAAAAGGACCTATGATGCGAAAGAGCTTATGAGTATAAGAGTACATGGTGGACAGATGCTTGCATACCGACAGGATCGCCTGCAAAAGTAGAACTTGTGCAGAACCAGATCAAAAGCTAACTAATGGGTACTTACCATGGTCATGATGAACCCCTGTCCATGTTCCTATTACTCCAAACGCACTGGCGATGCCGCCAATTTGCACCCCTTCGGAGCTGAATATTGTGCATTATAAGCATTTTTGACGTTGTAACACCGTACAACTTACCTCCATTGAATATGCGAATCGGCAATAGATGCCTGGAGTAACTCATGCCATTTCGGTTTCGTATCTTGTGGAATCAGTAATAATAACAAGGCTCACAAATCGCCATCGTACTACGCCACCTTCCGACATGGTTACAGAGCCAACAACAGTCGCCTCGTTACCCTTTATGCCCCAAGATGATCCAGTGAAGTACAGGGTGGGGTAGTGCGTATACGGGGAATCAGGGAAGCGGTCGAGTGTGTAGACTTCAGGTATTGTCTGAGAGTCTATGAGCGTCAGCTTGAGCTCAATAAGGCGCATAGCCTCTTCAAAATGTGGAGTGTCAAAATAGGTGCCATCTCGTTGTCCGTGGCCTCTGTTGCCATACTGCGGAATGTTTGAATATCAGGGTAAGCCTCAAAGAAAATAATTACATTGAATGCTGATGAACATGTCAACGAATGTAAGGACTCGGATTACAAATATACTCACCAAATAAATCTCTGGTGGTACGGCGAGACAATTGAGTGTTGGACGAATAGATGGTAAACAAAAGTCATACCGATAATCCATGAAACAGACATATCTCCTCCAGTGACCTTCAATACCAGCCCAATCACCTGTTGCTAGTGATGTGGTGCCAGGTGCTGAATATGCTCGAGTAGCTTCGAGCCCATAACGCGGCCTTGTATCCGGCCAATCATTTAGACGGTCAGAAAGGTTCATAGATACAACGTTGATAATCGATTCTATGTGAGTCCAATCCACTTCTCCTGCTATGATGTTGAATGGGCCCCAGTCGTTGTCTTGATGGTAATTCCGTAGGTCATAAACCTGACAGCGACTCCTCGTCCGTATTGATTTCAACCTTTCCTTTCCTTCGACGTCGTCATCATCGTACTCGTCCAATGTCAGTGCAAGGTATGCTCGCAGGCGAGCCAACGATTGGTTGCCCTCTTCTGAGAAGAGTAATGGCAAGTAGCGAAGCATATTTGTGGATTGCAACACTTCAACAACCCACAATAAATTGGGGGATGGAACGCGTTCATGTCCCCATGTAACGGGGGCTGCGCTTTGCACCACAGAAATAAAGGTTTCGATGGCCTTCAAGAGGTCTTCAAGGGTTGAACTTGTGCGACAGGCGATTAATTGCGCCTCCATTCGCCGATGTAGCTCCTTCCTCCAGTTGAATTGACCGTCTTCCTGAAATGGGGATGAGATCAGCCGAGGATCATCGAAGGGGAACAGAAGGAATAATTGGCGCCAAAGATATTGATCTGGGCTGCCATAAACCAGGCGGCGTGCTTTCCGGCAGGTCTGCGAGAACGACTCAACATCGCGAGGGTGGCAAAGGGTGAGAGTGTGTTCGGTTAACTCTGGTGGTATCTGGAAAACGCAACTTAGGGTTGTCGGCGTCGCTGCCATTGTCGACACGAATTGGTTACTGATACGATGGTGAAGGGTCCAGTGGGAACATGTACTTGTCTATATATACGCTTACTTATTGCATAGTTTCGGCCGTACTAAGCCCAGCTTGCGGTAGCCTCGTACCTTCCTCTGTTACACTACAATGATAATAATACATAGTACCAGGAGAACTTCCGACTCTGCGAATAGGTATGCAGTAATAACTGGGTCCATACACTCTTTGTTATCTCCTCCGTGTCGTATACGTACTAGTGGTCACCTTGTACCTGGTCGCGTACTACTACTAGAGTTACTCGATCGTAAATTAAGTGAAAATACGCGCGGATGAAACTTCTTATATGAAAACACGAAACTGTGTTTGTACATATTTGCGAGGACCTCTTGTATATACCTCCTTGGTTTGTACCTTCTACTCAGATCGTAAGTCATGCACCGTCTCCTCATATGCTCGCTTTTCGTCTGCACCAGCCTTGCTTTCCAATTCCCCTTCAGTATTCCTATTTTCAAATCAAAAGACTCTGCCCACATAGAACAGGCTCACGTTTCTCCAAGAATAGCCATCATCGGTGCAGGCGCGGGGGGCTCCTCAGCTGCATTCTGGATATCTAAAGCGAAGGAAAGGTTTGGAATTGACGTTGAAATCGACGTGTATGAGCGTTCAGATTATATCGGAGGTCGTAAGTCTCTAGCTTTCTGTCTGTCGAGCAGTGCTTATCCTTATTGACCAATTCGACCCGTAGGCAGCACCGTAGTATACCCTTATGATGATCCTACGTTTGCTCCATTGGAACTAGGGGCTTCTATATTTGTCGACGCAAACAAGAATCTAATGAGAGCTTCCAAGGAATTCAACTTGACTCTGACAGCCTTCGAAGATGATGATTCAAACACTGGTATTTGGGATGGCCAGGAATTCGTGCTTGTGGTGAGCTGCTTTTGATACAAATTTGCCCACACAAATTTATACGGCATCGAAGATAGAAAGCGGTAGCTATCTGAAAAGTTGGTGGGCAACCTTGAAGGTGTTATGGAGGTATGGCTATACTGCACCTACTAGAACAAAAACTATGTAAGGTTCTTTCACTCGTTCAATATTCACCGCAGGACTCATTAAGAACTACAGTGTTCAGTCAGTGATAGACCGTTTCCTCGGCTTCTACACCCCCGACTCTCCTCGCTGGGATGATCTATCAGTGTTCACAGAGAGGTTCCAGTGGGCTTCCCTGACCAACCAAACCGCCTCGGATTTTTTGGAAGGCAATAAAGTTTCTCCGCTCTTTGCACGAGAGCTTGTTGAGGCAGCGACGCGCGTCAACTACGGGCAGGTGTGTCATCCTTTCCAAACAGTTTACTGCAATATTATCCAACTGATACTGCATCAGAACGTGGACGAGATCCACGCCCTCGGAGGTGCCGCTTCAATGGCAGCAACTGGTGCATCTGGTGTTGTAGCAGGAAATTTCTTAATATTTGAGCATTTTCTCCAGAACTCGACAGCAAACGTCTTTTTGAACACGAATGTTGGGGTCTTTTTTTTTTAGATTGTGTTTGACCACTGACAATATTCCAGGTCAAGGAGATCCAACGGAAACCTGGCACTTCTTTGTGGACGGTCTACACATCGGCTGGTTCCCAGACATACCAAGGAGTTATCCTTGCCGCGCCTTTCCACCAGACTGATATTACCATGCCGTCTGATCTGGCCGAGCTCATCCCTCCGCAGCCATATGTGGATTTGCACGTCACGTTATTAACGACACGTTCCGAACACTCCAGACCCGAGTACTTTGGCCTCACCTCCAACGCTCAGGTACCAGCAACAATTTTGACCACCTACGAGGGTGCTCGAGCGGGCGGAGTGGAGCCCGAGTTTAACTCAATTTCTTACCACGGGAAGGTTCGTAAGGTGGACGGAGCAGCAGAAGACGCAGTAACAGACCCCGAGTCGACCGTGAAAATCTTCTCTAAAGAGCGTGTCCCCGATGAATGGCTCGAGACAGTATTTGGCAATGTCAGTTGGGTATATAGAAAATTGGTAAATCATTACCGTCCATATGAGCAAGCTGGGATACTAATGATGTGATCAGTGGCAGGCATACCCTGTGTTGCTCCCTACAACAGAGTTTCCTCCTGTCAAGCTCGATCAAGGCTTTTATTATGTGAATGCTTTTGAGCCGTACGTTACATGACGCTGTTTCTTTCTGCTTTCATACTGACGTCAGCCTCGGCTTAGGTTCATCTCGACTATGGAAACAGAGACCATAGCCTCGCGTAACGTTGTCGATCTACTCTTGCATGAAGAATTTGGGAGTGGTATTTGTGGCGCTCTGCTCTCGGGAACCGAGAACACAACCCAAACCACAACGCCAGTTGACTTTGTGCTCGGCTGGGATTGTTAGACTGTCCGAGCGTTGATGAATATATTACCAAGTTGAGATATATCCACATTTTTATCCACCAGTGTTGTGTGAACTGCTAGCCGATGTACAGAACTTGTTTCATAATAGATTTATAGGGAATTGTACACTACTCTCCCTCTCCTTGTGGGTACGGTGTGCCATAGCCAAGTGAGTACAGAAGGGGAAGTTAGCAATATCTTAACTAAATCCCCCACCACCGCGTGACGGATGCAATAGGATCAGGCTTGGGATGATGGCTATCTTATTGAGCCAGGTTATTAGCCCTGACAAGCCGTCCCTTTGGCTGTCGCCTGCGTGACTTTAAGCCTCGAGGTTTCAAAGAACCTTGAGAAAACGGGACATTCGACCTCGCAGACGCGTATGATAAAGATAAAGATACTATTTGAAGTTTTTGCTAGTGTGTACGATGTGTACAGAATTATTTTAGAGTGACGTGAGGCACGAGATACATTCGTCATAGGGTCACCGACCCCGGCTATGGCAAAGGAGACAAAGCGAGTGCATACAATGCTTGTGATAAAAACGATAGGCCAAGGGAAACCAGGGATATGCTCACTCAGTGAACAAGCCCATACCATCATGCAATCACGGATATTCTGGCCCCGCGCCGCCCTTGCAGTACTTCCAGCTCAACGGGCTTCTCATCCGCATTCGATTCACGAGCGTGCAAATTGTCGTGAACTTGGAAATTGCACGCTGAAAGTTCTTGCGAAACTGGTTGGCTGCGTCCGACAGCACAGGTGATCGTGTCGAGCGTTGATTCACGTGGATCTAAGGCAGTGGTCGTGAGGTTCGGCTCCATAACGTCACGCCATACTTCGATATAGTCATTCGCGTATTCACCGATCTGGATTATCTTGTTAGGCTGGGGGAACATTCAAGAGTATATTCACGCCTACCTCGACCTCGTCAAGACCGAGTGCTTCGCTCCCAGCTGGTACGCGTATACTGAGACCAGGGATTGTGTCGACATAATGGACAATCAGAGCAGTGACGACGAATGTATATAAACATGTCACGATGACATAGGCGAACTGAATGTAAAGCTGCTTCCAATTATGGTCGACCCAGCCGCCAATGACATTCGTGTTGACGCCATCTAGGCCAATAACGGTTTCAGTAGCAAAAAATGCGTTGGTCATGAGACCCAAGACCCCGCCGATAGCGTGCTCGGCAAAAAGATCAAGTGAATCATCTATTGCGAGAAGGAACTTCACTAAGGGATGCGTCAACATCCGCACTCCAGACTGATTCAGAAGTCTCACATTTAGTTGCGTAGTTACATATAGCGCCGGTGAAAATGCCCATAATGACTGCTGCCCAGGGCTTGATGAATCCTGCAGTAGGCGTGGCCGCAACGAGACCAGCGATGGTTCCTGAACAGAATCCGACCATACTATACTTCCGTTCTATGCGGTAGTCGATGAGACACCAAACGATACCGCCAAACGTAGCAGCGATCATAGAGTTCCACATGGCCATGACGGCACGCAGGTTTGCACCAAAAGCGCTCCCACCATTAAAACCTAGCCAACCAAACCAGAGGATAAAGGTGCCCAGGTTGACCATAGATACATTGTGTGGTCTGAAGTTCTGGAGCTCCTTGTCCTGTCTGCGGCCAAGCACCCAGGCATAGGCAAGACCTCCTACCCCGCTTCCGATTTCCACGGGACCTCCACCTTTGTAAATCAAAGAATATTAGAAAATGTGGACGGCAATGAAGCAGGATTAATTAACCTGCAAAGTCAAGAACACCAAATTTAAAACCCCAGCCGTTTATGTTCCACGCCCAACAAGCAATGGGGCAATAAACTAAGGTCAACCAAAAGAATGTGATGACCATCGCTGGGAGTACCCGACCTCGCTCGGCGATCCCGCCCACCAGTATTCCTACTGTGACGCATGCGAATTCCATTTGGTATAATGCGTACAATAGCGCAGGAATTAGAGGGGAACCTGGGGAAGGTTCGTTGAGGACGTTTATCAGGCCAAAGTTCGCCAAGTTTCCTATGAACCCGTTGTTTGCGGTTGGCGAAAATGCCAAGGAATAACCCCAGAAGTACCACTGAAAGATACAGACTGCATTGCTAGCAGAAACTACCCAGATAAGCGACAATGCGGACTTTCTTCTGGATAATCCAGAATATAGAAAAGCTGGAAATAACGTGAGCATAAGTAAGCAGATATAAGAGAGAGAAAATATACGAACAGAGACCAGGTATCATGAAAAATACCATGGCAGATGCCACAATAATGAAAGAGACGTCTCCACCGTTGAACCTGTGAGATATGAGAGAAATATTGGGTTCGAAGACCTGTTGGCAGAATCGCTATTGCCTCACGGTGTGTCACCCTGTCCTATAGGTAGCGCGAGATGTCGAGTTCTGTATCAGCGGCTCTGCTAAGTATTTGCCGTTGTGGACGCACTCTTTTTCAGGATAGCATTTGACGCATTGATTATGCTCGTTAGTACCATCGCGCCGAATGATGGGAGACGCTGTCTGGAGAGCTACGGGTGGGTCACCAATTCTTCCACAACTAGAATCAATTTATAGTCGGAGCGTAATCTTGTATGTATATATCTAGTCTGAATTTCATTGCCGAGAAAAATGATGGATGACGCAGCGTGTGAACAGCTGTGGTCACGATCTCCAGTCAAGGGAATGCGGGGATGGGTTATTGACATCCGACGTGGCAGGTCGCAGTTGATGAGTTATGATCACATCTGGTCACACCACACTGTGGCATGCCACTGCCGGAGACAATCAAGGTACGTGTCACGACGTGATTGCGATTTGTAGCAATACACGAAACAGTGTCGTGGCATGCATGTGGCAGCATACATAAAAGTGAGATCTATCCGTTAAATGATTGTGGTGTCAGGGCTGTCAGACTTCTCCAGCCAGCTCATACCTTTATGCTATTATCACCTGGTACATTCTTGCTGTAGTCTGACGGAGCTATGCAGAGGGCGTATGAATGCTTAAGCATGTAGAGAAGCTTCAGGAAAACTGAAAACTTAAAAGTGATATTAGTGTCTGATTTCGCGGCAATGTAGAATGTACCGACTAGTCGTTTAATGAGTCCACCTGCCAGTGGACATGGATGAATTGGGAGTGTTGCCATTGTTACCATTCGTTGGCACCACGGCAACAGAGATGGACATCTGAACTGTGGCAGCTCGGGAGAAGACAGTCTAATAGTAAAAGCCAACTACATAGTAGACAACTTTCCGTAGGAGGTGAGTGATATTGGCGGAGTTTCGGCTAAGTCTGAAATAGGAAGAGAAATTCATCATTTGAAACACGATACGGACTACATACATGGACGAATCACAAATTCAGCACGATGATCTGGAGGATGAAGTATACTACGATGGGGATGAGGATGAGGATGAGGACGAGGACGAGTTGCTGTGATGTGAGAACGTTAACCCTACTGAAGCCAATTTATTTTTGGAGGGCGAAATAAAGTTAACTGTCAAGGAATAAGTGTTCCTAGTATCAACGTACATAGAGTGAAACACGAGCAGCCGACCGACTTGTCGAGAGACTACTTCGACCCAGTATAATATTCGATACATCGACAATGTCACACAAACCTCTTGGAAACTCTCGCACTTGCGCTCCTCGTCAAGGCGAAAGACTCTCGGGATCAGCTCATTAAGCTACTAGTTTCACTCGCATTGGCTGCAGTGGGGGCCCAATTGAACAGCCCACGAGGAGACAGATCTCGCAGTGGTCACATAGGTGACCAATGACCATTTGCAGGAGGCACACATTTTTCTCTGACATCCTGCCAACAACGTAAACTGCCACTCAATAACTCTGACAGTTTATTTTTCTTCGCTTGTTCAAACAACAAATACATCTACAACCGACGTCCTAAGGGCTCGGCAACACTCAAGTAGCACTCCGCATGGCAGCGAGAAGTCCTCTGAGCTCTCTGCAGCATTCTCGCATCGCCCAGAAAGCTTCGGCAGCTCAACAAAGCCATATCATCAACTGCTCTATCTACTCCGACCTCCCAGGAATTTTCTGTCTGCGTCCTACCCCGCACTGGACTCTTTGATCACCTTGCCTGCCAGACGCGCCCTCTCCGCTTTTGGGAATGCTCAAGTAAGCTTGTCAGGGCCGTTGACTTGTTCGTGACTGGCAATGTGCCTAGCAACGTTTAACGCGTTAAGGCACTTGTATCGATCATGTTCAATGCATACCTCCATTCTCTGTTGGGCTAACACGCGCGCTTCCAGTACTTGCTTCCCGTGCCAACAGTTCTACCGATGAACAAATAGTCAACCAGAGTGTAGCGTTACTTGATTCTAATGGGGTCTTCATCAAGCCTCGACTTGAAGACTTCATCACTATCAGACATATTGTCTCCTCCCACGCCTTCAACCAAGAATTCAACTCCAGATGCTCCACAAATGCTCATTCCGCCACCATCCGACTTCTTCATTTCCTCGCATCTTTGCTGCTTCATCATGGAAAACGTGTAACGGTCGAGGGCATCATCTCCCGTTCCCCTTTATATTCACATTCTTACCCGCACACCGCCGCTACCTATCCTCTGTATTGCTCTCATCACTGCTTCCCCCGCTGTCAAGTGCATATAACAGAAGCGCTCAGGAAAGAGTGTCGCGAGACCCGCCGCGCTTACACAAAAGCAGCGCATAAGGGCGGGTATTCATGCTGTGTTGACCGTCAGCAAAAACAAGAGTGGCAAGACGGTAGAAAACGTTTAGCCCGAGAGGTTAACGGAGACAGCAAAGCTATTACTGACAAGGAGCTGGCACACAAACAGGCTATGGTGAATAGGTATGTACACCATTGACATCGAGTAACTTTCATTGATATATTTCACAGGGGAAAAAGTGAGGACTTGCATTTCTCCCCTTCCTGTGATGGTCCGCCGAATTCAATTTCCTGCTCTGTGAAAAGGTCCCACTTCTTCTCTCTCAGGTTGTTCGTGACGCCAGTTGTCCCCAATTATGTACGATCCGCCTTTTGAACCTCCCGTTATTTGTTCCTTGATGCTTGATGCTGCCAACGATCATCAAGCTGCAGGGTCTTTATCTTTTCTGCACGCTGTTGAGTGTTGTCGCTGTTGTACTTTACACAGCTTACTCTTAGGCTCTCTGTTTTGTTTTTCTCTGTGCATTGGCTTATACTTTCCCGCAGTGTGCGATGATCGTCTGCAAAGTCTGGTGCCGCATCGCATGCGTACTTGACGAGCGTTGTGTACTGCATGCCGTTGCCCATACCACCACAGAATACCCCATGTACCATGATATTCTTGGCTTTTGTGATCTTTCGTTGAGCAACGTGGTCATTGTTGACCGTGCACTGAGTTGTTTGTGTGTAGTTTGACGGCGAGTCGATTGTGGTGACTCACAATAATGTGTCCGTGTCATCACGAAGTCACACCCATCAGAGGCTCCGGTCATAAGTGAAATATATTGAACTTGCACCTATAATGCAATGGCTCTGCCTCCCATCATGATCACAGCAGCATCATTAAGATGTAGCTCTGTTCTTTGACCTGTAGGAATCGCGTCTTGCATCACAGTCAATGCCAAGGGTGTTGGCTGTACCATACTTAGTAACCAATGGCCAACTGCACAGCATGACACATCACATCCATATAGCTCAGTGCATGGGGCAACATGGGGTGGCTTCCCTGTAGGCTGGACCCCCAAGTCGCTGTATGGCAATGTGCATTTGTAATTTTTTCAGTATGTAACAGTCTCAGAAAGAAAGAAAAATATGGAAAAAAAACCAATGAGACTTACTGGCTGGAGAAGATAGTGCTCTGGTGACCAGGGCAGTGCAAGAGTGGAGAGCAATAATGACAATATGTATGCCTAGATGTAAATAACTCCAGTCTAGTCGCGTGCATCACAATCTGTCTATTGTACCTGCACTTTCGTTCCCTCCGCATTCGTCTTCACTGCTGTATCCTCGTCACCCTTCGCTGTATCCGCCTTCTTCCCCGCCATCGTATCCAACACGCTCCACAAACTCCCACTCATCTCTCGCGCCATCGCCTTCCTATCTTCCTCCAACAGCCGTTCAAACTCGTCCTTGTGCGTCGCGATGTACGACTGCTCCTCTTTATACTGCCGCTGCGCCTCAAGGCGTTTCTGCTCAAGGTATGTCAAAGGGATAGGCGAGCGCGAAGACTGCAGAATGGTAAAAAGTCAGTCGTCGCACGCGAAGGGGGTAAGAACAAACTGACTTCAGTTGGGCCGCCGAACATGCCGCTCAGCGTAAACCCGCCTTTGGATAATCCACGCGCCTTACTTTTCCACTCCTCGATATGCTTTTGCTTTGCCTCTGCCTCCTTCTCCGCGTATTCGATAGCAACATCTTTTCCAGCATACGCTTGGAGGATGGGGCGCACATCAGGGGACTTGTAAATCGCGATGGCTATACAAGAAATTTCGATTAAGGTTAGCTGAGAAGGATCAAAGGTGTGAACATACACTCCAAGAAGGGGATCATGGCAATCAAGCCCTTGTCTCCGGGCGCACCGGTCCATTTGGGGATGATGACGGCGTTTTCGGGATGTGAGCTTACATGCTCCGGGTGCGTATCAAGGAGGATAACTTTCGACAGGTCACGATTGAGATAAGAAAGATCCTAGGAGAAAACAAGGTTTTAACGCATAGTCAACGAAGAAAGTAAAGTGGAAGATTAACAGATGATGAGAGTTACCTTGACAATTTTGCCGTCCACTGATCGTGTGGCTTCGCGGAAAAGCTTATAGGTGATAAAGAAATTATATGGGTCAAGTTTCTCAATTATGGGCATAGCGGTCTGTTGGTTTTGAGCGTCGACTTCGGGGATAATGGGGATAATACGTACATAATGGTGCTGGGTTGTAAATATCACAATTTCGTAGAACTGGGACAGGTAGGCAAGGAAATAATCAACGCCAGGGCGTTTGGCTGTCCGCCATCCTTGCTGTCGCTGAGGATAGAGATATCATCAGCGACGTTTTAAACTTGGACGAACCAACCTACATCCCAAGTTGAGGTAATAATAAGATCATCCATGGACAGCAGGAGGGTGTACGGTTTTTGATGAGGAGCTGGGAGAGGTGGCGGGAGTAGTTCTGGCCATTGGGGTTTGTTGAGGTACTGTCAACGCGATCAATAAATTTATGAGCTTATGTGTCATGGTATTAATGGTGTCACGTACATCAAACAGCTCCCAAAACCTCGACTTCGTTCGTTCCCACCTTCCTGACGGAGCCTCCTCCACAGTCTGTTCGAAAATGAATAAGCGCGGAGCGAGCGTTCCAACTATAGACGCACCTGTTTCCGTTCCTTCAACTCATCCGTCTCCCAATCTCTACCGAGATACACGACTTGCACACCGAGAGCAACTGCGAGTACACCAAGAGACAGACGTCCTAAAAATCGTCTTTTTCGCTCTATACTCGAGAGCGAGTCCTTGGATGATTTTGCACCGGTGCGCTGAGTCTTTTCTGGTTCTGGTTCCACGGGTTGGAAGTCAAGGCTTGGGAGTGACGTCGGAGGTGAAGAGGGCGGGTTTTGAGGAGGTGATGGAGGTGGTGTTGAAAAGTGACGGAGTGCAGGAAGGGCGCGTCGTTGAGCTGCGCTGCGCACGATCACTGAAAACATTCCACTAACGAGGACGTGAGGTACTTTTCAGCTGGCAAGTATTGTAGAACAACTGTAGAAAGAAATGAATGTCACTGTTTGGCTATGTTTGGTAGACGCTCGTTATTTGTTTCAGTACATTGCAGCCTACCATCATTAATATTGAACTGTGTGTCAACCATGTCCAGCTTCAAGAGCATGAAAGTGATTGACTGAATGATCTTTGCACGTTGGAGGCTTGGCGTCGACTGTGAAGCGTCACTTTCACGAAAGCTTTTTTCAGTATGTATGTTCCTTTGAGCAAAGTCATGTTTTGACGATTAAACGCCAGAGCTCTTGTGTCTGTCGCTGAGCCTAGAATGCCTCGAAGAACACCAGTACTATACCATTGACGAGGCTCTGCGTGCAAGTTAAGACTAGAAGGTTTAATACCTAGGCATCAATCCCCGCATACACTTGCAAACTCGCCGTAAGTATTACTTGTACAATTTACTAGCGGCAATCGGTATGTCAGTGCTCGCTCGCGCTCATATTGAATGTATCGTTTGACCTCCATATCCAGCTGAAGGACTAGAAAAACTACATATGGACTCTGCTACTAGGAATACACATTTTATATCATCCCTTGTCATGTCTTGTAAGTTAACAAATAAAAACTTCACAGATAATTCACAAGGTTATGTCCGCCGCCTCACTCAGCAGCACCAGCAGTCGATCCTAACCATCATGTAAGCCAAAATCGAGCTCGAATAGGATGGATTAGTACCTTCTCTTCTGCTGAATCTGCGAACATCCGCCATTCGACGCCGTCGACGAAGCGCAGAGCAAACGAGTGGGAGATCGCTTCTAGTTCCTCGAAGCCCTCGTACCATTCTGCAAGTGAATCGATCCGTCCGTACAGAGGGAGGATGTCGAGGGGTTTGACGACCTCCTAAACATTTATGAAACTCGAATGAAATGGAAATGAATTAAGCTCACCCCTGGATTTCCGTATAGCAACATCTTGGATTCTGCATGGCCCAGTTCAAATGTATAATATCGCCTCTTCCACGCCAGCGCGTTGGGCGGTTGTACCGTGACCCAACCTGTCATCTTGTCTGTCCTGCTGGTGGAGAATAATTCCTCGTTCATGCGAGCAATTCTCATGCGCCTCCCTTCTTCTGACCTTCTACGCTCTTCTTCCTTCTCACTGTACTGGGACTCGGCGCGCTGCATCTGCTCTGCTCGCCACCGCTCTATTTCCTTCGTGTGTTGCAGCCTCCGCTCTTTCTCTAGCCGTCTCCTTTCTCGTAGCTCTTGTAATTGTTGTTGTTCTTCCTCTCTTCTCTCTCTCTCCAGTCTCGCTTTTCTGAGCGCTGCAGACCGCAACTCCTCTTGCAGTATTGCTTTCCTTTCCTCTTCCTCCTCACGCTGTAGGCGTTCTTGCTCTACTTTCTCACGCCGTTTCGTCTCTTGGCGTTCATGTTCTTCCCTCAGCATGGCTGCTTTTTCCAGTTGGGATTGGCGTTGCGCAGCCCATCTACGACGCTCTTTCTCTTCGGGCGTTAATGGCATGGTAGGAGGTGAATTCACCTTGACAGGGATTCGTGGCGGCGTTTGCTGGATGATGTGGATTGGCTGTGAAGCAGGCTGCGGTGGTCGCGCTTGGACGTCAAGATCGACATCGAACAGGAGGGACTTCTTGCCATTGTATTCTTCTCCTAGGAAAGTGCGCCGCGTAGACGCTGATGCCCACTTGTAATCTTTGGGAGGAGGTGGCGGCGGTGGTGCATCATCGGCGTGACCATGAGCAATATAGGGCTCGACATGTGTGTTTTGATTCCTGCGGCGCGGCGCAAAAAGTTGAGTGAGGAAGCTGCCTTTGCATATGTGTGCGGGAGAGGTGTTCATGGTGCTGGTCTGTTAGTGTAGATTGAATGAGTGGGGTATCTTGTGGATGAGCTGGTATCGTTAGATGATGATAGTAAGAAAACAAAAGATGTGGAGTTGGTTGTAACGCCCAGTTACCAGACAATGCGCACGCCTATTGCAATTATTTGTCCCATATGTGGTTGCAGGTAGTGGTTGCATTCCTATTGTGCCTGATCCCCATCTGGCAATTGCGTCGGTATTAGTGGGCGTCTTTTCACCATAAAACTTTACGGTCCGTTTACAATACACCATGCTATGGCTCCAGAGTTCTCCGGCCACCTTGCACCTTCACGCCATTGTTTGTCGTCGATCAGCTAGCAGGTATTTTGCTGTGGCTAGATGGATTCATGCAGGACCGTCAACTCCATTATACGAATCTAAATATGCAGAGAGGCTTCAGCAAAAAGCACAAGAGTGAGATGTGTCCTCCTTTGTGCCCAATTTCGTGACAATGTACTGACAACTTATCCGACTGTTCCTTCTTGTTCTTCCCTTGTGCCTACCTGGACATGACCTTCTGACTCTGGGAATATTGTCATTGTCACCACTCGTTGGCATCACCAGGCAGGGATTAGAATTATCTGAACTGAGAACGCGAGCAAAAGAAGCAGCTCGTCGTAAGGAAGTGGCCAATGTCAAGTCAGCGCGACTGTCGCAGGCGCATCCGCAAAGGTTGAACAAGTCACCTTCAGAATTGGTTCAAAGCAAGGTATCAGGAACTTCGAGCGTCCGCAAAGATAGCTCTCCGGTGAAAGTAAGTGTTACCTGTGCCATAATTTCCTATGCGGGACTGATTTATCGCTGCTTTCAGGCACTAGAATCGATCATAAACGTTCAAATGCTGATGTCAACTCCTCATACCGCGGAGCAAATTTCGGCCTTATGGACTACTTATCATGCCTCTCGCACAGGAGGCACGGGAAGGGGATTTATCTGTGCAGCGGTACCGATCAAACTCTACAACAAAATGCTTGCTATAGGAAAACAATATCCCATGTTTGTCATGCCTGTCCCTCGGGAGGGCTCTTCAGCCGTATCACCTGAAGGCCAAGAAAGTGCGGTCGCCCACGAATTCTATTTTCTACAATGGGATTTTCACGCTCCCCCATTGCCTCCATCTGCCACCGGTCCCGACCTATTCTCTCGCGCCCCTCCTAGTAACGCAACTACCCTGCCCCAGACAGCGACGGTCTTGTTTACACCGCTCCAGGAGTACAAGCTTCGGCAGTCGTTCGCGACCCCGTATCTCATTCTAACATTCTACCCCGACTTTGCTCAGACGCACGGAATAGTGCTACTTCGCGGCGAGATCACGCCATCAGCAGCTACGGCGGCCGCTAGTCCAAGTCCAGGCACGCCAGCCGCCCGTTTCTTTTTGAGTCAGATTGATGCTCAGCTGCTTGCAATGGGCGTGCAAAAGTTTTATTTGTGGGGCAATGAGAGTGAAGATAGTAGTCAGAAGGGGGATCAGAAGGCTGAAAAGCTACTCAGGCAGTTCCACGAACAGCCCGAGGAGTTTAATTGGGCAGATCTGCTTGAACATGCACGTCTTACCTCCTAGAAATGTTCGTCTTTGCTAACATTGTCGCGCGGGGATTCGGATCATGATAGTGCGATGTTACATCTGGACAATGGATTTACAAAGTTACGCTATCATTGGCATAGTCCTACGTTGATTATGCAAAGATTGAAGATTCATAGGGTCAAGGCAATGTGATCAACGGTGCCTTCTTCACCCACTCGTTTTTCTCCAATTCTTGCACAACGAATGATGCGAACCCTGCCCTTGTTACCCATATCCCTGTTTTCCCGTCTCCCACATAACCTACAACAAGATTCTTGTCATTTGCTCCGCTTAGCAGGGGTACACGGACAATCGTCCAATCCAGGTCATTTCCTTGGGTCCGAATAGTTTCGCCAATGGCTACAACATCTTCGTATGCCGTACGTGCCAGGGTGGCTACGCCGTTAACTATTATAGACATCCGCAGACTGAATTTGTCGTTCGGGTCTGTTATGCTTGGTGTCCCAAGGGCCAGTAGCCGACGCACACGGTGGCCTATCATAAGTTCAATGATCAGAGAATATGCCCGTGCAAGAGGTGTGCCCTTCGGGTGCATAGGTCCGCGCGAGACCGATGGCCCCAGAGCAGAAAGCACGGCGTCAACGCCCATTATGGCGGATGAAAGCGCTTCTCTGTCATCGAGCTCCCCCTTGTGGACTGTGACGCGGGGATCATGTCTGATTTCCTCAGCGAGTTTATTTGGCGAGCGCGCATATACAACCACGGTGTGCGATGCTGCGAGTGCTTCCTGGATAAGAAGCACACCTGCAGCACCTGTTGCTCCCAGAATTAAGACGCGCATGATAGGCTACTTCAATGATCTGATTTGGGGTAAACTGAGCGCTCAAGTTACTATCAAGCATCACAGTTCTCCAATTAACGTACCTTTCGGCAGGAAGGTTCACTGGTCGGGATAGTTGTAAAAGTGGGTAAGAACGGCTATCTTCGACGATTCTTCGTAGGTCTGCCTAGGAGACCACTGCGGAGTGGGAGTATCGTCACCGCAACTTCATCTCATCATCGACATCTGCCTTCCTTTTCAAGACGAGAATTAACCCATCCCCGACTCCCACGTTAGTGGAGAGGGCTCTTGTCGAACTCAAACGTGTTTCATCTCCTAAAATCTCTGCCGATTCTACCCGTTCTCTTCAGCGCAGGATCCTATATTACTGAGCTATTAGTGCACAGTATGTTCGCAACAAGACTGAGCAAATAATAATAACATGACCACCTCTAGACCTATCGTTGTGACGCCTTGGACCAAATGGAGCCAGTTGTGATTATGTCTATTTGGCTTGTGTAACTTGCATCATGATACACTACTCTCCGCTAATACCTATTTTGACTCGGATTTCATGCTTGCACACAGCTGGCTGCACACATCGACAGTCGAAAGGAAACCGGTTTACACCGGAATTCGATGAAAGAAGTAGCCGACAGGGCTCACTCTGCATAAGGAACAATTATGTCCATTTTTCTGATCACAACGTGCAGTAGTCAACTGACAACGACTGGCAAGTTGGAAATACGAATATTCAGCAGTTCCTCACCCGCCAATATACCTTCAAGCTTCCAGTGCTGGCAATATGCATGTAGTTTTATGCGGTGCTGGTATTAATTGTAGATATACATCCATTTGGAGGCACATCCACGCTACTACAAGAATTCCAAAGAACGATATAAAAGCCAGCTGTCTTCCTACTATCGCCTTCAGAATTACCTGATCCCATACACACGAGTCACAAACAATGCGTTTCTCCTCTGCAATTGCCCTCACTGTCATTGTTGCTTTAGCATCATCGATCTCTGCCATGCCCACTGAAGGTTACACAGCTGACGCCAACCATTGTGTCAAGCCTTGCATTTATGACTCACATTGTCGCAGCAAAGACTGCTCTTATAATCAATGCGTGAGTATCGACATTTTCCTGAACTCGATAACACGACTCACCTACATGGCAGACCATTTTGTTTTTCTGCATAGTGAGTCGTATTTTGCTTTCACATTGGTGTAGTATGGCCGTTGACATTGATGCGCGAGTTACTAGTGATTTGTAGAGTTGATCAACACACCTGCATATTGGAATTAGCGTGAAATTGGAATGTTAGGCTAAGATAAGACGCACGAAGATTGCTATCAAGGGGCGTGCTGATCAGTCCGGATCCTATATTACTGAGCTACTAGGGTTTGGCGTTGCCGACTTTCACTGGCACTTGCTCCGATGCATGTGCTACTGTTTCCTCCTCAATGCTTTCGATTCGGCCGATGAACCACAGGCGAGGGTGTTTTCTAACACATGTGCTAAGTTCTTTCAAGGTGTGAATGAAGACGACACTAAAAAGAAAAGGGTAGTTTTATCTTTAACTCAAGTATCGTTGTATCCAGCCCTGAGTATCACTTGTCGTCAAAATGGCTGACGGTTTTGTGTAACATGTATCCCGACGTCAACTGTAGTTCTGAAAGATGTAGTATGTTCGCAACAAAATGGAGGTGACCGAGCAAACAATAATACCATGACCACCTATCGACCTATCGTTGTGACACACTCTTGGGTTCGGAGCGCCCCCCCTTATAGATCAAATGGAGCCAGCTGTGATTATGTCTGTCTATTAACTCTATTTGGCTTGTGCTGCAAACCTTCAAGCTTCAAGTGCTGGCAACATGTATGCAGTTTCGCGCGGTGCTGGCATTGATTGTAAATATGCATCCATTTGGAGACACATCCACGCCAAAGAACGATATAAACACCAGCTGTCTTCCTATAATGCTTCAGAATTACCTGATCCCACACACACACGAGTCACAAACAATGCGTTTCTCCTCTGCAATTGCCCTCACCGTCTTTGTTACTTTAGCATCATTGATCTCTGCCATGCCCACTGAAGGTTACACAACTGGCGCCAACCAATGTGTCAGGTTTTGCGCTCACAACTCACAATGCGTCAATAAAGGCTGCATTTATAGTGAATGCGTGAGTATCAACATTTTCCTGAACTCGATAACACGACTCACCTACATGGCAGACTATTATGTTTTTCTGCCTAGTGAGTCGTATTTTTGCTTTCATATTGATGTAGTATGGCCGTTGACATCGATGCGCGAGGAACTAGTGATTTGTAGAGTTGATCAATACACACCCGCATATTGGAATTAGCGTGAAATTGTGAAATATAGGGAATGTTAGACTAAGATGAGACGGGCGAAGATTGCTATGAAAGGGCGTGCTGATCAGTCCACAGCACAGCCTCACACTGACGGTGGAACATATAGACGGGCTTCAAGTTGAAGATCAAATATAAGTATGTATGCGTATGATAGACCCAACAAAAACGCACCTAGGTCCTGCATAGCATTGTTTTTTTTCTGTTTTTCGTAAAAAGAGCGAAAAAAAAGAAAAAAAAACTAACTCCAACGCTTGCAACAAGATCCAGATAGGCATTGAACAGAAAAGCTACTTCAAGCCAAATTTTCTAATCACATCGTGAGCACCTTGAATCAACTATTAATTCCTTGGCAAGATGAGAGGGGCGGTGCTCGAGTAGAAGCAGCGGCCGATGTCATGATGAGATGATGAACGGCGAGCAGCAAGCTGAAGCTGATGTATCTTTTATTTGAGGAGGAGAGTCCGTGTATATGGTAGCGGTGTGCGGAAGTAGTGATAAAAGACGGGTGGTAAGGGCATTGAATTCGATTCGATAGAACCTCAACTTCTATTAGATCTAAGTTGTTAACACACACGTGACAGATCAAAACATGGGTAAATACTCACGTGCTCGAGCCACATGCATAAGCGTCTCTGGGTTTTGTGTCACATGTATCCCGACGTCAACTGTAGTTCTGAAAGATGTTCGCACTAGAATGCCCGAAGTACTCCCATCAAAGAGCAGCACTACGCGCGAACCAGCTCCAACAACTCCTCAACAACGTGAACAACATCAGACCACTGTTACGCTACATTGCACGAACAAGGAGGCTAGAGCAAGCGTTCAGGGACGTCACGCCCCCGCCACCCAAAGACAAAGAATAGGATAATCCCACCGAGCACAGCACAGCTTCGACACCCAAACCACCCTCATTCTCGCCTTCAGTCGGCGACTCCGTCCTCGCCCCGCCAGGACCAATAACATAGTCTCTTCGCCACCCACATAGATCAAACATTAGAGTAAATACTGTACGTACTGTCCAACATAGGGCCTCGCCCCAACGGACAATAACCACGGATTTTTTTAGAAAAAAAAAGTATGTTCGCAACAAAATGGAGGTGACTGAGCAAACGATAATACCATGACCACCTATCGTTGTGACGCACTCTTGAGCTCGGAGATAGTCTATAGATCAAATGGAGCCAGCTGTGATTATCTCTGTCTATTTGGCTTGTGCTGCAAAGTTTCAAGCTTCAAGTGCTGGCAACATGTATGCAGTTTCACGCGGTGCTGGCATTAATTGTAGATATGCATCCATTTGGAGACACATCCACGCTACAAGAATTCCAAAGAACGATATAAAAGTCAGCTGTCTTCCTACTATCGCCTTCAGAATTACCTGATCCCATACACACGAGTCACAAACAATGCGTTTCTCCTCTGCAATTGCCCTCACCGTCATTGTTGCTTTAGCATCATCGATCTCTGCCATGCCCACTGAAGGTTACGCAGCTGGCGCCAACCAATGTGTCAAGCCTTGCGTTTCTGACTCACAATGCCGCAGTCCAGACTGCTCTTATAATCAATGCGTGAGTATCAACATTTTCCTGAACTCGATAACACGACTCACCTACATGGCAGACCATTTTGTTTTTCTGCATAGTGAGTCGTATTTTGCTTTCACATTGGTGTAGTATGGCCGTTGACATTGACGCGCGAGTTACTAGTGATTTGTACAGTTGATCCGCATATTGGAATTAGCGTGAAATTGTGAAATATAGGGATGTTAGACTAAGATACGATGCACGAAGATTGCTATCAAGGCGCTGTTACCTGGCATTGGATACAGGAATTCGCAAATAAATATTCGACTTCTATCTCAACAACGGTTCCTGAGGCCGCACCTATTTGATACTGCTTAGATGCACCTCATGATACCGTCATATAGTTAATTAATGCTTGCTGGATGAATTTCGAAGCCAATTCATCCACCGTCATTGGGTGGAGCACAGTACTGCTGAGACTCGAGATATGAGATCTCAGTGCTGAGTCGATACTCGCAAGCAGCTGGTACGTACAAATGTGCGCCACAAGTGCCAAGTATCCTGCCAGCCTGACTGACGTATGCGAGCTCTAGCATTCAATACTCACAATGTACTTTCAGCTTGTAGGCTGCTTGGCAGCATACGTAGACTTTATCACACCTGCAGATGTCATAGTGCACAGTGAATGGAAACGATCAACAGAGCCCCCGGTTGTCTGCATGAAAATTGCTGCTTCTATTAGGTCGGGGAAGGTGCCTTCAGCCATCCCCCAGCAGCTAGTGCATCTTCCTCTAGTGCAAGAATAGCCTCTCCAAGCTCACCAGCGTTCTGGGGGCATAATTTCACCATATCTCTCCCGTATGAGGTACCAAACGCATCAACGATACCTGGCACAACATCCTCCACCCGTACATTCTTTCCTTTCGCTTCCGCTATGCACCCAGCCTTGACGTCAACTAACCCACACGCCACAACTTGTGCAAACCATTCCAAAGGCTCCTTTGTGACGTTCATAGCAAACCCGTGCGTCGTGAGTCGGTGGCGTACTTGGACGCCAATACTTGCTATCTTTGTCACAGGGTCCAAAAATACGCCAGTATTGTCTGAGGGTACATGGGTAATCTCGTGGGTCCGCAGCAAATAAGATTGAATCATCTTTTGCATTATGCAAATGTAATCACGGATGCCAATTGGCGGAGAGGTGCGAGCAAGGTCTAGAAGTGGGTAACCAACGAGCTGGCCGGGTCCATGATATGTCAATTGTCCACCGCGCGCTGCTATGGAAAATTCTGCGCCAATCGATGTCAGACGTGCACGTTCCGCGTGCAGTTCTTGTTCGGTTTGCCGGCGTCCAGATGTGTACACTGGGCGGTGCTCGAGTAGAAGCAGAATGTCATGATGAGATGATGAACGGCGAGCAGCAAGCTGAAGCTGATGTATCTTTTCTTGGAGAAGGAGAGTCCGTGTATATGGTAGCGGTGTGCGGAAGTAGTGATAAAAGACGGGTGGTAAGGGCATTGAATTCGATTCGATAGAACCTCAACTCTATTGGATCTAAGTTGTTAACACACACGTGACAGATCAAAACATGGGTAAATACTCACGTACTCGAGCCACATGCACAAGCGCCTCACCCAATCACCCACGAAGAAGTTGTCTCAAATTTTCCACCCTGCCAACGGGTATCCAACACTACTGTTTACGTGGAGGCGTGTCTAGCCCTTCGGTGCCATGATGTTCAAACGTCCATGACTGGTAACGTATTGGTACTAAACTATGGTGGTCATGAGTATAATATTCAATCATTAATGCTAATTGGCGTGTCCATCAAATGTCCAGGCGGACCAGGCCCCACCTCAAATCGCTGCATAACATAACATGAAAGGAACGAGTTTTTTTACATTGTCCGCATAGAATTGCCTAGCCTAGCCTATCTTCTGTTGTTTGGGCGTTTTTTTGCGGCTGGTGCCTCCCCAACCCATGTCATCCTCGTCAAGATATTCTGCTTCGACCTAATGGACAGTCAGTTGAGGTAAGTCATACAATCATAACATGCAGCGCACGCCATAAACGTCATTGCCTTCAAATCCAGTTGCAGCATCTTTACTTCTGACGTAGTCTTTTCTGGAAGGCTGGGAGCATGGTCCATGTCAGTAAACTCACTAGCTGTATAATACGGGCTTGGACAAACAGCATAGGCGCTATCAAAGCCCTGTCCAAAACAAGACTTGAAGGCTCGGGTAATTTTTTTGAAGAGGCGGGGCTCTTTCGTTTTCACTCCATGTTCAGCAAGGCTGGCATGGAAATCGTTATTCTGTCGATAATTAGCTGCCACACCACTATCGGCAAGCTCAGGCTGCTGCGCACATCTTTACGTTGCATGAGAGTCGGTGCAGTGTAAAACTTGACAATGGATCAAACAGATGCGTAAGTTAGACGTAAGCTGACGGCGTGGAGTGTGAGTGCAAGTAAGTTGCACTCTCAACTCGGTTCGTGAAGAGAATTTTGATCTGTACCATCTAGGCTCAAAGGGGTGTCACCTTATATCCTATCAGAAACCTGAATGCCGGAATCCTTAGGCGTCTGTGGCTCATAATAGACGAGTGAGTATTCAGCAAGCAACTGCGCTGTCTCAGGGCTACAGCATTGTCCCCGCTTTTTTCCCATCGCGTTCTGCTGATGGGCCCATTGTATTCTTCCTCGGTGCCTCGTGGCAATCTGCCAGATATGTGACATGCAGCGAGTTTGCAAGGTGGTCTCTTTCCCTCACAAGCTCAGTTATGCGAGTTCGTGCACATGTCTCAGAGTCGCGAGCCACGCTGACAACAATCTCTTGGACACCATACATATGCGAGGCAGAATCCCATATGCTTGCCCGCTTCGGGGGATTCTCGCAAAATGGTATGTATTTCTGGACTACTGTGCAATTCTCCGCTAGACTGTCTTGTGTGCTTACGGAGTTTCGGTCTCATCGAGTAAAACTCTTTAGGAAACGATCCCACTCATTTGAATCATCTGGGAACTGAAATTGCAAACGAAATTGATATTTCCAAAGTCATTATAGACCTGGAGTTTTTTTTTCAGAATTGAACATTCTCAACTTGGGTCCTCTTATTTTGAACATGCATGACCGGTCAACACCGGCAATTCGACTAGCCTAATCTTTGTAGGTGTGACCCATGATTTCCCTCAGATGCGTATGTCAGCGGGAATGGTGCTATCCCCATTCTTGCCTCACGGAACGTCATTCTCCACCAAGTATCTCACAACAGTTGTCTATTGTATAGCAATAAAAAAATTTATTGTTTTCCACTGCATGTTTGATCGTACAACATTTTTTTTCCGTCATTAGTGTACATAAGATACCGTTAAGTTAGGTTCGGTTGGGTATGCATCAAACAAAATGCTGTGTCCCTTTAAAAAAGAGACCGGCGCCCTGACGAGCGTGTGCCCCATGACATGTTATCGTCGTCGAGCATTTCGGCCTAATGACAAAATCGATGAGTTACTTTCTTGAAGGAGCTAGATATAGATCTTACATAACCGCCCTCAGCAGCGATTCTGTCAGCAGTTGGGTAAGAAGGCGGCATCGAAGGAGAAAACGCCTGATGCGCTCGTCAGAAATGAAAAGTGAAGAGCGACTACAAAACGTACGACAGCGTATGTGATGTCCATGGGTGATGGATGTCCCTGAATTGAGTCGCGAGTGGACTTGGAACTGTGGGAGCTACGACGAGAGAGCTGGCAAATGGGCGGAATGTCATTGGCGGGCCGTACTTTGTCGATTTGCTAAAACCACATACCTTGCTGCTGATGGACAGTCTCTTCAAGGATTCGAAAGGCGACATGTTTGAGGGGAGATGTAGAACAGAGAAGTGTTTGGAGTGATTGGAGTGTTTAGCGGATGAGGCTTGTTAGACTGACAGGGATTTGGCAGCATGCTTTTATACTGAAAACTGGCAGCTGGCACCACGTTAATGAACGGAGTCACTTCCGCATTAAGTCCCATCATGTCATGCTTCGTTCGGATCTAAGAGCCCTCGCAAAGATCTGGCAGTGGCGAGGTAGTAACATTTGGGTTCATGCTCCGCATTAGCCCGGAGCGCGGCGATCGTAGTCAAGCCCATCCCATCCCCATAGCGCGGGGAATAACCGTATCTCCATGGCCTAGATGGACATTGGACAGACCGTGTCCAGAATCACACATTCCGAGGAGGCTGACTAGTCCTACTTGCATATAATTACCATTCGTAGCATAATAACAAGTCACGTTCGTGTTCAAGTTTAGCTGCCAGCACCTTCTCACCGCTTACACCTGCATTAATATTAGCAGTACTCCATATCTAAGACATCATACACTATTTTTTGATATCTGGTGCCAAGCACCTGCCCAATCAGAATGGTATGTACTTTTTTTGTTCTCGTCGACGTCAACCACCTGACCGCAGGACCCCTGATGGTTCCTACTAGTACTAAAGTCTGCACCGGAAGATCTAGATGCACAGGTTCGGGGTGGTCCGGACGTCACAGTGGGTACATGTGGAGACATAGCCATCCGTGACACCCCTCCGGAGAGGAAGGCCTCGAAAAAAAATGGAAAATTTCAATCACCCTCTTACTACACGCACTCTGCGAAGCTGACGATGCACACTAGCAACTGATTGTACTGTAGCTACCCGTCTTCGTCGGCTTCCATCATCCCTGTTGCTCTATTTTGTCGCGGGCGAGCATTCACGGCTTTGACTGCTCCAATATCCTCCGAGGGTGGTTCAAGAACAAGCTGATCCGTTCGTTAGAAACACGTAGTGGGTCGCTTGAAAAGGTCTTTCACGATTAATCCACGAAGCTGCGGGATGCAGGGTTAACTACTAGGGGTGATGTCAATCATTGAGCGCTCGAGAAGTTTGATCCATGGTGAACCGAGGTACCTAATGGTAACGAGTTGTACTTGGCAACAACAAATTTTGATATAAAGTTGAATTTATGCAAGATACATATTCAGGGCTAATTCTGATATATTTTACGATAATTATTACTATCTAGTTACTAGACTACACTCGGCCGTCATTGCTGTATGTCAGGGGGGAGGGCCTCCTAATGAACACCACAGGAACGAAATTCACCGTGAGGCAAGGGCATGGAATCCTTAATAGGGATTATCCTGAGGGTCCTCTGACCCAGTGACGGCAATTTGCAAGGCACTCGAATGATTCACTGTCTAATGATATACACCCGGGTCGCCGATGGTCAGGCGGCTCAGGGCCTCAACTTGTTCAGCCAAGCGCCAATATGGTGTCAATTAGAATTTCGCCTCCCATACTCTCTCATAAATACTTTTAGGTCACTTATTCGCCACGGTTTTTGACTTCGTCCCGACTATAATTTTTATTTCACCGAAGTACGTACTCAGACGTACTAACTGGCGCAGGACCCATACCACGACTCCAGTAGAGCTGCGACCAAGTTGCAGTGGATATGATATTGCTACCGCAATCGGTTCGCAGCGCTGACCCGACCCGAGAGTCAAATAATTTCTGGCCCAGCGTGTCAATATCGCCATCCCGCCGCAGCAAAACTTCAAAATGAATTTGCATTACATAATATTGGTATATCAAACCCTATTTCCCCACACTACATTAATGCCGTGGTTTTGCCGATGAACCTCCCAGCTGTCTCTGTGAATATAATATATTTGTGCGTGTGACATGAGTGTTTTCACCGCTGTCAAGCCTACCCACCTGATTAGAATTCGGGACCGACAGGACAATACCAAACCGTGGTGAGCGAGGGCTGTTTGTTAGCGTTGCCCAGCAGATCATAGTGGGGTAAGAAATTGAGCAATTCAGCAAAGTTCAATTGGCCCGCGACTCGGCTCATGGAGCTGTTAATGGTGTTCAGTGTATTGGATTGTATTTCGGCGTGTACTGTGCTTCGGGATGCCATGCTTCTTACAAGTGCTTCTTTGTCTGCCTAGCCTTGGCATCACGACGACCAAGAATTACCAGAGTTGCTTCCACCGCTTTAGTGCTCCCGCCAAGCCACCACAAGCCATCACCAAGGGAGGAGCCGAGCCGAATCAACCAAGGTTACCAGGGAGGGCGGCTTTTGATATACTTCTCTCAAGCTTCCCCGCAACCCATACTTCCGGTTCACTGAAGTGCGCAAAACTATGCATTCAGTTATCAGCAAGCTCACTATCGGCACCGAGAAATAAATACATACATCGTCTGTCCCCGTTGGCTTGAGTATAGCTTACCGTAATAAGATAGATATCACTTCCCCGGACTCTTTGTTTATTTTTGCGTGTCGTACCAGAGCTCTGGACTCTAAAAGGCGGTATCGTCAGAGGACCTGGATAGATTTGCCACCTACGGACGGGGCCCTTGCAGGCCCTGGGCCCTTTTCATCTCTCGAGGTTGCCTGGACAACTGGCACCTAGGATTGCTCCGTTAGCTGCCCCTGAAGCATATCGACTATGTCTCTGTATTAGGTCAGACCCTCGACTGGTGATGCGACAGGCGATTCTGTTTACCAGACAAAACAGGCTGAAAGGAAGTCAGTACTATCTTCAGGGCAATAACACCGTTGAGAACATATATGTCCGGTATTTGACGATTCGTTATTAAAGCACGGGAGGATCAAGGTGTCACTACAGGAAGATCATATCGGTATCAGCCTGAGTTCTAAAGCAATGTAGCTCAGCGGGGGCAAGCGACCGTGAGCATATTGTGTGGCATGCACTGTTCCTGATGGAATGAGAGTCTGGCTCTTGCGAACCGATCTAAATAGTTCTCTTGATTCTAATGACCGATGGATTTAGGGATCCTAGATTGCCGCAGAGACCACAGAAAAAGACAGTCCTTTCTTCATGAAGTCAGGTTGTTGTATTCTTGCTGCATTGAACGGGATTCTTGCTATGAATGAGATCTCTCTGACCCTCAGTGGTTGCACTCGCGGCTCGCGGAACTCCTTGCTAGTTCAATTTTCCGTGAGTAGGACGAGCTGTGTTTGGTTAAAGTGAAGTCCAAGGTTCGAAGGTTTTTAGTTGGGGTGCGACCGGCCTTTGAGCTAATTATACTATTAACTTGAAGTACCTGAGAGTCATAGGAAAATTATGGACTTTTTCTTTGGAATGATTAAATCCGAGGGAACCATGTAGTACTCATCTGCGACTGGTATTCACTTGTCCCCGGTGTTTTACCGACACAACGAACGTAATTCTGTCGGCCGAACTTCGGGTTCTGCAGTTTTCTTAGAACCAACCTTGAAAGTGACGATGAATGTAAGCACTCACTTCCAACCGGAATGGGCTGCTGGTATTTTTGGGCAAGTTTGCGAGGAATATGCAGTAAATCCCACTGTGGTGTGATTGGAAGAGGTCAATCCGCTGAAAATGTTTATGACGAATATGGACTTGATCAACAAATGGAAAATGAACTTGATATTGACCGCAACGTCACGGTTGACCGGTCAACAAAAAATACTAGGCGACGTCTATGCCACGTAGCATACAAGGTGCACAAGTCGGAGTTCGAATCCTTGCGCGTCCGAGTCGCGGTGACATGTCAGAGGCGCGAACACCATTAAAACACCGTTTGTCAGAACGTGGGTCGGCGAGCCGTCACGCTTATCCCTTAGTCGAAGTTCATTCCAATCTTTTCACCCTCGGACTGGCCTAGTCACCGACTCCTTACACCTCCAGGCTGGCTCTATTGCAGTGCGCCTTGCGGTTGCTTTCGCATGATACTGTGAACTTGAACTGGTCGCTTCTGCTCAAGTTATGCGACACGTCACACTTGAAGCTTTTGAATCTGAAACTTAACACTTCCCGAGGCTATCGCTGACATTGACCGACTAGCCGCGGCGAACTTCGGGTTTGTTCAGAAGACCGCTGCAATTTGATGGATGCCAGATGCGAAGGACTACTAGTCACACTAGAATTCTAGAACAGCGGGTGCCCAAATGTTAATGCTTTCACGATGCATGTGAACTAACGTTTCTTCTGCCGTTGAAGCTTGAAACCCTTCTATTGTGTTTTCAGACCCGAGTCGTTAATCCATAATTCATTATATTCAATTATACTAATGCTAGGTGGGGGTGGACGACAACTCTGGTGGACGTGTGCTCTTCGGTGTGGATGAATGTGATTAAGGTGTGAAAAAAGTTTAACCTAACTTGGCCACTACGTGCTGACCATGCATGCAGAAGAACGATGGGCAGCGGCGAGGTGGTTACTTCGACATCCTACCCTTCACGTCGTCTTTAGTTTCTCGCGCGCCAGCAGCAGCCTGAACAGATATCAGCAACTGACAACTCAACCTGTTTGCACGCCAGGGATAATTCACCTGATTAACCTTTTGTTTGGCCTGCTCCGTGGTTTCCTGGGTAGTTTGCTTTGCGTCTTCTGTTTTCTGCTTTGCCGAAGCCGTTGTTGAACCTAGTATATGACCATCAATGATTCTGCGCCGTTGAACCAACTTGAACATTTGCTTACCGAGTGTCTCCTTGGTTTTCCCCGCCGCTTTCTCGCCTGTCTCAATGGCCGACGCCAGACCTTGGCCAACTTTCTTATTCACCTTAAACAAACAAGCTTGTAAGGACAACCAATCTGAGGCGTGCGGTGATGTATACCTTGTCAGCCATCTCGGACACTTTCTCGGTGACCGTGCTAGCAGCGGGCGTGGCATGAATAGAACGGGTATATGATGCAGTACAAATGCGCGCGTTGGAGGTGATAGCGTTGCGAAACATGATGATCTGGTGAACGAAGCGTCCGTGCAGTATTTGCTTTGTTATACACCACACCAACGAGGTTATGACGTCGGTAGGGCATTGATGTCATCGCACGTGCCAGCTCTCCGAGTGCTCCACGCCGACAGTACTTGTGCGTATGGTCACCCAACATTATGCAACGGCACTACTGCTAAAATATCGCCAGCGCCACTGTCCACATGGTGAGCGGCTCATGACGCGTGACGGAGGGACAGATCAGATTAATAATATCGTTGTTCTAAATCCTGTATCCAAGTCTGACACCAACTGGATCACTGCGTCGTTGCCTCACTCTCATTCATCACTAGTAATCGACACGTAGAACGGCTACCGTCGTCCTCCGTTTGTCGCAAGTACCGGCAATACTCGGCCACGGCGACAGTGATGGGCCTCATTAACGCAGTTCACAGCCCGGTCAAGCGTTGGCATGTGCAGTCTCTGAATCTCCCCAATGCAGTGGTAACGTTCGAGTTCCGTCCGCAATGACATGTCGGATCCGCAGGACAAGGAACGATAGTTTTTTTTAAGCATTCTTAGCAATACAGCTCATCTAGCAGCCAGAAATATCTGAGCAACAGTTAGCTGGACTCGGAGCGCGGTTGCTTAAAGGAGAAGACTGCTAGAAGTACAAGTTCTGGGAAGGGCCACCTGGGGTAACAGGAAAGACTGTTATCCACTTAGTGTGAAGGAGACAGTAGGTCTGATCAAGTTCTGATGCAATCTGTGACGCTCCCGATGACTGTGCGACGATAGGCAAGATGCCTGATGCGGCTATCCCTAGCAGGAAAATATAATGTCCCAAAAATGTAAGCTACTACTCAATTAATACTCAACTGTCCGTCGTCACATCACTGTACATAGTTGCCTGGGAATACACCCTGGTCCCCGTTAAGACGACCTGTCCACCAATCTTCCTGACTCTCTGTCTTGGTTACAATTTCGATGCGGTCACCGGTTTTAAAAGAAAGATCTCCTTCAGCCTAAAATGAAGAGGCGTGTAACCATCCATTCAAGAGATCAGATGGATACATACCTGAGCATCGAAATCATATAAGGCTGTGACATACTCTACGGCTGGCTCTGGCTTTGGTTTGGGTTTCACCGGTGGGGGTGGAGGCGGCCTCTTTATTGCAGCTGTAGTTCCAGCTCCCGAATCATTTGAAGCGGCGGAGTACGGGGGAGGAGGAGCAGGTGTCTGACCTGGCGGCGCTGGAGGTGGCTTCTTGATAAAGGAAGATGTAGGCGCTGCTCGGGATGGTGGCATTGAGCGGCTGCTCCCACTACCAGCACTTGTAACGCTGGGTGAGCGACCGATGGAAGGACCGACAGTCAACGAATTGCTGCCAGGGGCACGATTAGCTTGCACGAATTTCGCTGGTAGTGAAAAATCATAAGTGAAGAAGCTGACAGGTGAGAGTTGAGCGTACAAGTCGATATGAAGCGCTTGGTAACGTTAAGATCCTCAATTTGACTCCATGCATCCGTTCGCTTCTCTTCATAGTCAGCCTGGATTTGAGCGCCAGGGGCGTTGGTAACGTCGTATCGACCCTCCGCGAATGAATTCATTTTCTCAAGGAAAAGATAATAAATGTTGAGCCTGTTGAATTGTAAAACGATTGCAAAGAATGGTGGTTCCAACAACCAAGGACATACTGCATGTAATAGAATGAATGGAAAAGAGGCTCGATGAAATGAGTCGAAAGCTGCATGAAGTGCGGGAGATCTGTCTTGAGTGCGTTGTTAATGTAATCATACTCATTTGTGGCAATCTCGAAGTCTTGCTCAAGCTGATCATACAAATGTTAAACGTGTCGCTGACAGGAAGACACTCCGGCACCTACCTTGAACAAATTCTTCTCATCACTCAAACTCTTCTCTTTCTTGTCCCTCAATTTAGTAAGTGAATTATTGAATCGATCATAATCGACCAGCTTATGATCGCGTTTGGTGATGCTCTTCCTGATCAGCTTGAGGACTCCCTGGAACTCTTTCACGGGTGCAACAATTCGTGATTCGATGAGCTCGAGTTCAGGGGAGATCGCAGAACGAAGTTCGTCGAGAGAAGTTGAGTACGGAGGAGTGTTTGCGACGGTTGCCTCACAGGAGGGATGCTTGCCTTGCAAGTTATACTCGCCACCCAGCGGAGAGAATATAAAATTGAAATGGTTGGCGAAACCAACGGAAGAAGTGAAGAGGGCTGAGAGTATGTGTAAGGATGCAGGAATAGATAAGACGGACGTTATCGACACACTTAAAACAGCTTCGGAAAATATCCTGGTATCTTTTAGCAACTTTTCTGTGGCTTGCTCGAGGCTGATGAAATGGCGATTGTAGTCGTCGAATTCGGGGTCAGAGGACTCTAACAAATAGCAGATAGTTTGAGTGAGTGGTTGATCGCAAAGATTAGATCTCACTCTTCGCAAAGCCAACTTTAGATGTGACAAGGTGAGGTGTTCTGTAGACGATCGTGAGTAATCTCCTCCACGCTAATGCTCAGGCAGAAAGATGTGACAAATGCCACTAATTGTTAGCATCAAACTGAAAAAAGACGAGCTCACCGCTTGATTGCTTTGGTGAACCCTTTCATCTTGTGGTAATGATATCACTATGATCAGGCTCGTGAATTGTCCTGATGCGGCTAAGAAGTTCGAGTTTTCGGATAAACGAAGAATCTTCGAGAGCGGTTTGAAGTACTACGCGGTTGGTTGTGGTGTGGTGCACCGCCCAACAACTTGTCTCACCGCAGCTGACACTTGTAACGTGACTCACAACACCCTAAGCTGGCTCGCGAACAAACAAACGAGTACAATGTGTCATTCAATTCACGAGTCTGCCTCCTAGCACTTAAACAACTTAAACACTGATCATCGATCTATTAACTGCGTTTACTTGAATCAAGATGCCTATCCAGCAACCATCAAATCAAATCAAGTCAGTGTTGAGCTGACAATGTCTTGAGGTTTTGCGCTGACGCAAGGTGAAGCACAGGCTCACAAATGTATCTATCGTACGCTTGAAGAAGGGTGGCAAACGGTTTGAGGTATAGTGTGGATATCCCCTATAATAACATCATATAACAGCCTAGCTTTAGATTGCCTGCTACAAGAATAAGGTGCAGGAATGGAGAAATGGAGTGTATGTGATCACATCCATATGTTAGCTCCGTGGCTAACGCAAGATCCTTGCACAGTGAGACGAGTTTAGATGATGTCCTCCAAATTTCGAATGTCTTCATGAATGTATCCAAAGGCGAGGTTGCCAAGTCTAACGATCTCCAAAAAGCATTTGGTACATCGACAGTAGATGATGTTGTGAAGGAGGTCTGTCCTTTCCAGCATCCTCGCTCCCTTCCTTATCTGTGCTGTAGATTTTGAAAAAAGGAGAAGTTCAAGTGGCAGAGAAAGAACGTGATCATGATCTCGCTTCCCTCCGTAAAGAGATTGCTACAATAGTCGCTGAGAAATGTGTCGATCCGGCCACTCAACGTCCCTATCCTGTCGGGATGATTGAAAAGGCTATGGCTGAAGCGGGTGTGAGCGTGAAAGCGGGGAAGAATGCTAAGAGTCAAGTGGGTGATCGTTCGTTGACATCGCGCGCCAGGTTCTCATCAAGGGGTGACAGGTAGCGGAAACACTGCGACTCATCCAGGGTCACTCAACACTACCGATTCAACGTGCGAGGATGCGAGTACGTGTCGTTCTCCCGGCTGCTGAAGGAGAGCGTCTGCAGGAACAACTTCGCGCGTTGGCCGAGACGGTCGAGAAGGAAGACAAGGGGGAATCTTGGGAAACTGTATGCATTTTTCATTGTCTCGTCGAAAGACTTTGACGAGATTGTTTAGGTTATGCTTATTGAGCCCTCGCAAATCCGCACGATCAACGAACTGTTGCAGAAGGAGTGCAAGGGAAAGGGGCGCGTTGAGACACTTACATTTGCCGCAACCGCTGACAATTGAATTATTAATTAACTCATCGGTGTATCCTCCCGATGTTCAATTATGCCGACCGGAATAAGTTGTTGTTGTCAATATTGTGTTATTATCTCACATCCATGGGTGAATTTGTCCTCAGCAGAACTTATTGGTGATTCTAATTTCAAAACAACCGATGAAGTCTTTACTGTTCTAGGCAACATCATGAGGACAGGTATGAGCACAATCATCCGGCATTAATAGTATCCAAAATTATTACTTGGTTCGCCATGTCCATTGGGTGTGTTGGCATCATACACGTATGTAAGGGAAGTACGCAAGACTAAAGTTAGGCTTATCGGTTCCGTTGGGCAAATACAGCGACATAGTATATTTATAACGGTGTTCTTCGAAGGTATGAATATGGATAAAGCCAAATTCCAATGATATGATACATACTGATACAGTAAAAATGTCAACACCAGCAGCCCCGCACGCAACATCAGGCGGGAGTGTCGAGCACCCCTTTGTGACTCTGAGCTGGCTCGGTTCCTTTAACTGCTGGAAAAGCCGAGGTGTTCGGACACCAACACAAACCTCGAACAATCCCGTACTTCACAAAGGACCGCGATAAACATAACCCTCAGTTCCAAACTTTGTGGTATACCTCTCGCCACACCCCCACACAATGTGCCCTCTCAAAGCGCTCGCCATAAACCACCTACCACAACTGTCACATTCTTCAATAAGTTCCATCGCATCATAACGACTAATACCCATGCCAGCTGTGAGCGCATGCATACGTCCTTGCTCGATTCTCGAGACGAAGAAAAACATGTCCGGCAGCGCATCGGTGTCGTGTCTGGCATGATCAAGTAGGGTATCTTTTGGTCTTGGGATAAATACTGTATATTTTACTTTGAGCGTGAAACTCAAAACACGTAGAGGTTTCGTACCAGAACGACGGTGGTTTCCCGCCACTTCACAGATGAAGGAAGGTGATTTATGACAGATGGTCGCGGGTGTATCGACGAGTGTGAGCCAAGATAATTGACGAAGTATGGCGCGATCTCAGCATGGCCAGATGGTAAACTGGCAATGATAGCTCGAAATGCAGTAAGATTAGGCCCGCCTCCTTCAATTAGGGAAGGAGGCCACAAAAACACTCCCAAAAACAGCGTCGCCGCATTAAGTATGTTGCGATTCCACTTGGTACGATGCGGAAGCCTCTGGAGACTGGACTAGACGACTACGAGTGGGCATCCATACAGAGAAACAGAGACAAAACACATACTATGCAATCGTGACACATCGGCCGGCGTCACGAGAATAAACCACAAGCTCGGTGTTGCTATGTTGAGCAGCGTAAGCCATCGCAAACAGTGTGTTTTGAGCAGGCATGGTAATGAGCACAACCCCACAACTTGAAGACCGCAATGCATTTAGTCCGTTATATACGACACGACTGCGTCATGTTAACAGTGTTGTTAGCCTGTCCGTAACGCATCAAGTTCATCAACAGAACTGCCTCCCTAGTAGGCTATGCTCCCGAATACACTGGTTGTCCGCATACAAAGTTCTATTCTCCGCGCAGGGGGCTGCTGGGGAAGTTAAGTGGCTCACAGCAGTCTAAAGCGCGACGTACTAAGCCGGCGTTGAATGTCTGCCTGTTTGTTGGAATATGCTACCACACCTCATATTGAGGCGTCAGTCTTGCATCCGCGCCGAGTCGGTCCTGCTTCTCGTCCGTGGCACCTGCCAATCTTGAAAAAAACTGCAGCATCCCAGACCGTACTTTGATGATAACTATGACACATTATTTAACCACAAGTCATAGTAAACGTGTGATAGTTTTTCATATAGCGACGAGAAGCGTGATTGTGAGGGTACGGAAGATGGGGGAACGAGGCAGAGAATTCGGCGTTAACGTTGAATTTGATCCACCAGTCGGATAACTTGCAACTTGAAGTGCCAGTGACACGTGACAAAAGTACAATCGGGTTGTGGTGATTGGACATATGTAAGATGACCAAGCACATCTTGTTTCGTGGAAGATCTTGGTGACTGCCCTTCTTCCTACCCGTCCATGATGCTGTTCTCACTAGGTCGTTCGTGTTCAGCACACAATGTCGTCCACTCAATACGTGTATCCGCCATCTACTCCACTCATCGTCGTGCGATGATGTCCACCTTGAGCTCTCAACCTCAGAGACCACCGGAAGCGCATTCCAGCTCTAATGCAAAGCAGCCTCTGAAAGATTCACCGCCTGTTGTCGTGCCAACTGCAAAGTCGCTATCATCCGAACCAGCTTCTCCGCAAGTAGCTGCTCGCCCACCACCTATACCAAAGGCAGAGCGACCGCGGCCAACTATTCGGTCCACGAAGGCGGTATTAAGTATGGTATGTGTTGATATGATGGATTCTATCTGTATCAATAAGACTCATCCCTCGTTCCAGACACCGACTGCGATACAGCGGCTGCGTGGCTTGCTTAATAGTCCGACACCACAATTAATTCGCATAAGTGTGCGAAACAAGGGTTGTGCTGGTCTGTCTTACCACCTTGACTATGTGGAGAAGCCGGAAAAGTTCGACGAGGTAGTACAACAAGATGGGGTTAAGGTCCTCATAGACAGCAAGGCACTTTTTTCAATAATAGGCAGTGAGATGGACTGGAAGGAGAGTGCGCTAAGGTGTGTCATTCGCTGTTTTAGGCGATGCTTCACCGCGGAACTTACATGATCAATTCCTGTAGCTCCAAATTCGTTTTCAACAATCCTAATATCAAGGACGCATGTGGATGCGGAGAGTCATTCACTGTTGCATAGTACTGCATACGGAGCACATCTATCACTACCAGATGTACTCTTTTGTGCTTTACATTTGTTAGTATTACTATTATTTACACACCACATTCAGTGTATCCCTATCATACGTACCTCACATATATTCAATGCATAGATGACAGCATTCGTCTAAGCTCCTCACTCACCTTTCATAATGACATCACCCGCGCGCTGTCCTTGCAAGTTATTGAAGTTATGACATTACGGGATAGCAAGTATTACAACAGTTTAAGATCACAGTCGGAGTTTCTTTTCCATCTCGTTGTGAATGCTCAACGGTGGACCGCTCTCCAAGCCTATGGAACAGTCGGTCAGATCGCATCACTTGACTATCTGGACGATTACGTACCGAGGAAGAAGTCGGTCGGGTCTAGAGTCTCATCTCGACCCATCAGGATGTCGAGATGTATGTTTGATTGTGGCATGCCGGGCATATGAGGGCTCTGAAAGGAATTCAATTTGCATATATTTAGCACACGCGTCCATACTCACGGCGGATACAATCTGGCGTTCCATAAGCAACCTCATAGGTGCACTGGGGCCGTAGAGATTGGCTAACATGTGTAGCCTCGCGTTGTCCTGCGTCTCTTCCCACTATGAATGTTGTCAGAAAGAGACGCATTTTATAATGGACTGCGAGCACACCTTTGCGATACGGTTCTCGAACTGGCCCCCTCTCATCTCAGTTGCAATGCTACGGATTCCATAATGGAGGGTGTCATGGAGGCCTAGGCTGCCTGCAGTATCACTTATGGACGCAGTTTTGATTTGTGAAGGCGGAACGATGCGGTATGAAGGTTCCTATATAACTAGATTAGCTTGATCCACCAACCGAACGATATGAATGCGCACCATAGTAGTGGTCTGAAAGCAAGCGGGTACCAGTACAAGGACGCGTAGACATGTGACATGGAGGTGGTCACGAGGGTGACCACATGTCACGCCCTCGTGACGCTCCCCACAACGTGACCTTTGACGCTGTAGCACGAGTCGGTGACGATGGTCTTGAGTGCCTATAAGTAGGCCAGCTTGTGAACGAATCATTACGCTTTCAACGCTCGCCATATGTGTGTTTCTTCAATTCACTTGTTACTGCGTTGCTGATACAGTCATCAAATACAAAACTCTAGCATAGCCCAGGCCCGGTCACGTACTTAGTTCCTGCATTTGTGTTAGGAACGTTATCTACACTCCAAGATGAGCAGTAGACCATCAAGGTCATCTAGTATTCCCGTTCCACCACGGGGAGGCATTTCACCCGTTCGAAATATCGAGTCAGTCATCTCAATCCCCTTTGCACCTTCCCCACAGTCCCGACCTCGCCTTGTGAACCCGGGATGGCCGCAACGTAGTCCTACTACAGGTATTAGTAGTATCCGTGGATCCAGCTCTATGGCTGTGGCGTCCAGCGCTCCAATGCGTTCGACAGCTCGATCATTCCCACAGCCAAGCCCTGCACTCCTTTCAGGCACAGGAGCTACACCAGCGCACATATACTATGAACCGCGCGTAATTAGAGTCGACACCACTTGCCCAACCTCTTTACCTTCTCCTCCTCGTCGGCCCGGTGCGCCCAGCGCTCAGAGACCAGCTATGGCACACACGAGTGCAGGTCCGTCCCCTGCCGACTCAGTACCCTTTCCTCGCCCGGCGTATCTTGACCATTCTGCACTGCGGCACCTTTTGCAGACAGACACTCCTTCTCAACTTTCCTCGTCACCGAAGCCTGATCTTGCGGTCGTCCGCACTGAGTATGCTGGCGGAAGGAGGAGGGTGCAGAGATCTCCCAGCTTTGATAGCGACGAAGAAGACAGTATTACTCCTGGCGAAATATCCTCCCGGCATCAAGAAAACAATCCCTTAATGTCATCCGCCCTCTTGCGCCTCCCAACAAGGTGGAGTGAGGAATATCGAAGTCCTATGTTAAGCGTTTCTGCAGATGGAAGGGATCTCACCTATCAAGGTCAGTCATCCTGAAGTAGTAGAATTACCAAACATACATTGATTAAAACAGGTTCTCCAAGCAACTCTGATAAAGATGCCGCAGCTGCGCGTACGATCTTCCCTATTCCTCCTGCCTGCGGCATATACTACTACGAGGTCGAGGTGACCAGCAAGACGAATAACAACAAGGGGTGAGTGCCTTGTGTACGGAATCTGTGATATCTATGTACTTAAACGCAAATTCAGGCATATTAGTGTTGGGTCCGATTAAAATTCGATAATCTAAAATTAATTTTGCTCACATCCCTTTGTAGTCTTGTGAGCCGCGATTTTAAATTGACTCGCCTACCGGGGTGGGAGAAGAACTCGTGGGGATATCACGGTGATGACGGGTCGTCGTTCGCGACGGAGAAGACGGGCACACCATATGGTCCCCAGTTCGGAGGTCCGTCTATTTCACGATACACTTGAATACCTAACTCACTTTGTATAAATTAGCTGGAGATGTTATCGGCTGTGGTATCGATTTTAGCCAGAACCGCGCGTTCTACACAAAGAACGGTGCTTTACTTGGTGCGCACTCTTCCCTCCGAGGACTTCTTTTATTCTGAATTCTCACAGGCTCTGTTTTCGATAATATCGGCAAGGATTGTGATATTTATCCAGCAGTCGGGCTTTGCCATCTCGGAGAATCTGTGCGGGCTAACTTCGGCCAGGACCCATTCAAGTTTGACATCGAGGACCACGTACTTCAACAACGAAACACCACATGGTCGCGCATTCAGACTGCGCCTTGGACGTGGCCAGTAGCTGACGGTGATAAAGATCTTACTCCAGCATCGACATCCACCGCAGAAACCCGCGCGAAGTCCCAGATCAATGATCTCGTTCTTTCGTACCTGTCACATCACGGATACGCACGTACAGCACGAGCTTTTGAGGCGCAGTGTTCCGCTCGAGGAGGAATGTCAACATTGAGATTGTCGAAGACGTTCCCTTCATCTTCCACGAGTCGCGTGTCTGACCATGATCAGATCATGGATATGGACGACGTGCCCCAAACACCTACGATCGCACCTGCGCCTATGGATGATATTGAGATCCGTACCCGTATCGTGCATGCCGTGCTCACTGGTGATGTCGATACTGCGCTGTCCGACACACGAACACACTTCCCTCGAGCGCTTGATGCGGATGCAGGACTGGTGCTCTTTAAACTACGATGCCGTAAATTTGTGGAGCTTGTACTGGAAGCGGCAGAATTGAAGAAGCGGATGTGCGCGGAGGATGCAGAGATGAACGTAGAGGCTGATGGAGAAGACAAAGGGATTTCGGAAGGGATGGGGATGGACGTCGACGATGAGGCGGATATCTCCAGTACTGGAGTGACGAACGGTTTCGGCGGCGGCAGTAGCGCAATCCCCATCAAAGGCAAGCGTAAGGCATCGTTCGCCTATTATTCGCATTCAGGTTTGTTAGGTGTGATTGCTGCCAAGTACGGGACCGCTCTCGAACATGCGGTTGCGTACGGACAGGAGTTGCAGTCAGAGTACAAAGACCGCCCGGAGATGCGTGCCATCTTTAAGCGTACAAGCGTGATCGTGGCTTTCGAGGATCCGCTTGAGGCCGGCGGGGATGCAGCGGACGTGGCGGGGCAGGGAGCAAGAGTCAGTCTTGCAACGGAAGTGAACCAGGCTATTTTGCGTGAGTTTGTTCTCAAGTTGATTCGATTATATTCTCA